ATTCCCTCTCTTCCCACATTGCTTGAGATCCGCCATGTGTATCTGACAACCATCATCTCCGCACCGTCACCTGGTAGGAGTGCCGCGAATTTTTCCAATCCAGAAATACCATTTAAATATAGAAATTGTGCGTGTTTGTTTACCCTCCAGATTGTTCGAAGTATGGCTCACTATGTATATTATGGTTCTGGGAATGAACACACTACATGAATGAATCGTGGGAGACGATGAGCTCTATTTATAAATTGTAATGATGTTCGGTAATGATATATTTGTCACTGAACTTCACAGAAAAGATGATTTGCCGGTGAACTTTACAGGAACAGTTAATTAAAATAGGACAGCAGTCATTGATCTGTCTCTGTCACTGTACATGGTTTTTCGTAATAAGTTCAGGACCGGATGTCCATTCATTGGGGTACTTTAATTTTGTTCTCACTAGGTAGTATTTTGTAGTTTCATATGTGCATTCATTTCGGATCTGATGAAGCCAACCAGCAGAAATACGTATCGCTCGGGTTACCTATCCTATTTTCTGCTCGAATCCACGTTCCTCCTTTTTGCGGATTTTACCCATAATTTTATATATATATATATATATATATTGAGACGTGGTCATTGTCGTCTAGACCAGTTAGGTGACAAATTAAAGCTTCCGCCTTTTGTTGGGTACTTCGACAAACTTTGAGCAAAGAGGACTCTTTATACTTTTTTTATTCTCTCTAGCTTTCAATGGACTTTGCCATCATCATCAGGAGCTGCAATTACATTGATAACAGTAGCAACAATAGTGGAAAAAAGAATTTAAATTGACTTAACTTACAGTAGTATGTGAGGATGTTGCTAATTGTTGTTTACGTTCAGGATGAGGGAAAGCTGGATAGATGGTACAATGGTCAAAATTATATAAAATACAAACAAATGTGTGACAAGAACAAGTTAAAAACAGATTAAAAATTTTTAGAACATGAAAGCATTACATCGTGAAGCCACTTGATGATTGCACAAAATGGTGGTCATGGAATAATGAGTGAGATGAACCCTTTGACAGAAGGCCGAAGGTTGTCAATGTCTGTGTAGAAAGATGGAACGAATTGTGGGCGTGTGCCACGTTGCCAAATCTCTTCAGATGATGTGATTTTCAGAATGTTATGTAAGAAATTGTTAAACCGACCAGAGGCAGTTGAATTAACTATATTTTAATTAATGGGAAATTAAATTAACAATTATTATTAAATCGTGAGGAGAAAATTATTAGAATTAGAGTGGAATGAAGTTTATTGGTGGAATCGACCAAGAAACAGATTCCATTTATGGTTGTGAAGAGTCAAAATTTGGGGAGATATGTAAGTTCTCCAATTTATATATATATATATATATATATATATATATATTAGTCAAATCGGACCTTTTCCATTAAATCATGTGAGACATCTCACTGACAAGGCTCATTACGATGCAATCTGCAGCAGAATAATAATAGATATTTTCGATTGTTAGATATCAACACAAATAGGTACACCTGCCAAACCGTTCAAATAACATATTTTTGAATAATATTAAAAATTCAGTCAGTCAGATATTTGTTAACGTCCAGTATATTTAATATGCTCTGGTCCGGAATAATATCTGACTAGTGCGGACATCTTTATAGCTCTGGAACTTGTATGTTATTTGTTGTCAAATTATCTGTTTTCATAATCGCATTCACAGGGTAATAATAGCAATCTGTGTATACAATTTGTAAGGTTTTAACGATACTTTGCAACTTTAATGGCTATTACTCCATTGCCTCTCAATGTTACAGCGTAAAGCGATTTTCGTTCGGAGCTTCATTAAAATTTCAACATTATCTTCTCTTTTTTGACTACATAAAGCTGTTTTATTGTACACTTTCATTGCTCCAGTTCATTTAGCAGGAAATTTGCGGGAAAACAATATTTGCCCTTCTTCGATTGTTCGTTTTGAAAATATTATTTTTATCACAAGAATAGTGGAAGAAATATTATATAGAGTGTCTCATAGAACATGTCAATATCTTCAAATGGCACTGGAACAATATGTTACATGTAATTTTTAATGCGAAATCTTCAATTTTAGCGTATATTCAAGATAGAACCGGGTGTTTTTTTTTACCGATTTTATCTCAAATATTGACACCAATTTTTTTCGAAGAGCAGAAGAATAAAAATTGATGCCGAAAAAGTTAGTGGCGTGGAAACTGATTTTCTTTTACTTTTGTAGCGGCTACAATTCCTCATTTTTATGTATATGGGTGAGGGGGTATTTTATAACCCATCATTACCTAATATTTTTGTGTTATTTTTTGATCTACTTGTCTATGCATTTAGGCATTGCGTTCGCAACTAGTCCAATATAAGAATCTATGGCTTAAATACGCAGATATCATAGCTGCAATTTTTTTATTGCCTGAAAAAGTCGTGCTTCTTGACATATGCATGAACTTAAATTAACTTATAGAAATTCAATTGAGAACACTTATTTTATTAGAATAAGCTCCCGGCTCCGCTCACGTGGAAGTAGAGTAAGGTTATGTTTAAAATTATCCGCATGTTGCTTTGCAGGAATTAAAAATAGATGTTTACCATTAAAAATTCATTTGATCTTAAAATGACCTTGATGTACATACTTGAAAATCACGTTTCTTGATGTTTTAATTTCCGGTGTAAAAAAGGGGTTTCCATTTAGGAAAACTGTCTTGACCTTCAAAAGTAGTTGGGGGTCAAAGTCAAGGTCACGTTTATAATTACCATTAGATGAATCTTTCCAAACCTTACAACTTTATTACTTTATAAAACGTTTTTTATCTGAGATATTTAGTACGTTCCCTACTTTCTGCTCATTCAGGTCATGGCCAAACGTAGCAGTTCTCGTTCTTTACGTTTCCGTTGTCAAAATAAGCGTTTAATTGAAGAAAACTGTCTTGACCTTCATATTACTTCCAAGGTCAGAATCAAGATCACGTAAAAGATCATTTTTTTAACGCCTACACTTTTATTCTACCATAGAAAACGTATTTTTCGAGATCTATCCGTACTTCTTGAATACCCTGTATATTTTCACGTATTGTGGTTCAGACGTTAAGCTGACAACTGGATATCCACATTTATATATTTATATATACAGGGTGACTTTGAAGTTGAGTCATTAATTTTCAGATAATGATTGTAGAAGGAAGATAAACCAAAATATGTGTCAAAAATAAAAAAAAATAAAAAAAAAAATTTTACCTTGTTTTATAAAGTATCCTCCCGACAAGTATTTCAGTGGGGACCTGTATTTGATCATGAGGTCTTGGAGCACCGGCATGCCCTCCCCTGTGAGGTCTTAAGTCACCTGATTCACGAGCCCGTTGTACTACATTAACAAAGGCACGAGGGGTTGGTTGCACTCGATTGGGAAACCGATCCGCATAAACATGTGCCATTTTTTATTTCGTTTGAGCCACGCAACAGACACTATTCACACGCGACTGACACTGACTGTATGTATAACTGAACTGAATAAAATAATAAATTGTACAAACATCGTTCCAAATTCTGTCGCTTTTTTGTTTCCGATGCGATGAACCGGTAAGGCGGATTATATCCGTTGTTGCCAAACTCGAGCACATTATATTGAGACAGGGTGGTACTCAAACTTCCAAAGAGCTATAACTTTGTTACTTTAATTTTACCAGAAAAATGGTAAAGGAAAAAAACATTTCTTTTGATCAGATCTACTCACTGTTAAAATAAATGACTCAACTTCGAAGTCACCCTGTATATATATATATATATCCTTTAATTTCTTTGGGTAGAAGGCAAAGTATTGGAAAAGTACACTCTTATAAGTTAAACTCTCAAGCTTTCGAAGATCTATGTCTTCATCGTCTGGAGTAAGTCGACGAGATCATTGATGAAATTGTTTTTAAACAACAGTGAAGGGAACACATAGTCGACGAATAAAAAACTGGACTGATGAGGTTCGATTAGGACGTAATTATTTTATTATTAAGTGGCAAATCAGTTTGAAAGGTTTTTTTAATTAAACGTTGATTGATTTTGGAAGAAATTTGGAGATTTTAAAACTATCAACTACTGAAAATTCCTCCGAGATTTAATCTTTTTTTCCACTGATAACCTCCACATTATCCAACACGTGCCGGCCGACGTCGTCGACTATGTGTTCTCATCATTGTTGTTTAAAAACAAATTCAGCAACAATCCGACTTACTCCAGATGATGCCTTATACCCAAAGAAATTAAAGGATATCTTCTCCTAACAGTTAAGGCAATTAACTATGAATACTATATATATATATATATATATATATATATATATATATATATATAGTATTCATATATATATATATATATATCTAAAATACAATTAACTGTTAATTGCGAAATTGGCTAACTTTCTAGGCTTTAGTTAACTCGTTTGACGGTAATCTCAAGCTTTCGACAAATTCTCTATGGAGCCTTCATCAGGAGCTGTCGTTGAGGTTGCAGCCAAATGGTGTTTCAAAACGAACGCGGGGATGAGAGCACTTGTTACAAATATACAACCAATCGGACGGCCACATTGGAGGTTAGAAACGACGTTCCCGTTTTGTCCCCACAATTGCTCTTCGTTAATTTTTAATATGTTCGGGTGTATTGATTTATCGTGTTAACACCTAACGATGGTATCCGTCGTTATCAATAAGCCCAATGTGTCCGTCCGGTTGGTTTTATATTTGTAACAAGTGCTCTAATCCCCGCGTTCGTTTTGAAACACCATTTGGCTGCAACCTCAACGACGACTCGTGATGAAGGCTGCATAGAGAATTTGTCGAAAGCTTGAGATTACCGTTAAAAGAGATAATTTCTCAATTAACAATTAATTGCATTTGTTGCCACTAGTCGTTGGCAATGACAAGGACTACTGCTCACAGTATATATATATACTATATATGTATATAGAAGGTACTTCAAGTATCTGTAATTTGATTGCAGATGGTGAATCATGAGTTCTTCACCGAAATCATCTTTAGCGAAGCTTGGACTGTATCCTAAGCCGAAGACTTTGAAGGTTATGGTATTGGGCCAAGCTGGGGTCGGAAAATCGGGTAAGGTGATTTTTCTCTAATTTTACGTTACAGAAGTTCCTCAGTTTCTATATTTAATTATAAGGCAGTCTTTCACCAAAGAATCACACACACACACAAACGTACTCACTTGTGAATTGCTAAATTGAACCAATTTTGGGATAAACAGCTAAAAAGCTTGTGCTTACAAAGTATTAACATGGACGGGTCGTCAGGTCCGGAAAACGAATTTCATCAAAAAAATCTGTGAGATGTTTTTCACCACCTAACTCAAGTCTCAATATTTCGTCCAATGCATGTTAGTTCATAGGAAATTAGGCAAAGAAAGGAATTACATAAAGTGTTGAGGCACGCGTTGGAATGTCAAGACCTTTTTCTCGGTTATTTGATGGTTCAAGTTGCCTTCTTCAAAAAATAACTCCCACTTCTGTCTAATAGTTCACCGAAATAATTAGATCTAAATGATAAATGGGATCAGATACATCTGAAACGACATCGGATTCGGTATTGGCAGACCAAAATACATGGAATAAAGGTCATTTGAACCGCATTTAAAACCAAATCCATGGCACATTCAGTCCGAAAATGCCTCGTTTTCGAGATACTGACAAGAATTCAGCTTTGTCAAAAAACGACTAATAAAAAATATCTTAAAACTGTTGCGCGTTTATGATCGAGACGAAAGCTTGTTTTCTTGGTAAGTCGGGTACGTAGATTCCAAATTCGATGTCGATACAGTGCTAGAAATTACGGCTAGCCCGGAAAAATGGCTAAATAATTAGACCTAAACGGGATCAGATACACGTGAAACGACTTCGGATTCGGTATTGGCAGCCCAAAATCTATATGATAAATTGGCTGCACAGATCATAGAAGTCCTCATCTCAATGTAACTTTTGAGACTTATCCTGTGGTTCGTAGGATTCCTTTGCTTGGCTAAATCAAACCACATATGTGTTTTAATTTCTGTTTATTGTACGACGATTCGGCTACCTTGGAAACATATACGTAGTATGATTTGGCATGACAAGGGAGTCCTACTTACTTACTTACTACAAGTGCTGTTTTATGCGAGTCGGAAAGTATACTTTATCTGAAGTCACTTGAAACACTGTGAAATACCGGGTGCGTTTTATATACCTATATTTAACACGCTCTGTTGCTGCAAAAATCGCCAAATTTCGCAGCAAATATCCCCCGTATAAGATCAAAGGCAGTTTCACCGGTCCACGTGGAGTAAAGCACGCCTATGCGTGGACATAGCCAATGAGAAAGCGTGTATTTCAGAGCTCCGAACAAGTGCAGGTGGCTACTGAAAATTGAAACAGTTTAGCCAGTGCCGTGTAGCGGTGAATAAACGTGTTTTCTTTAGTCTGTCCGTGTTTTTTCATAGATTTTATTAGTTTGTGTGTTTTTGACTTTTGAATACTCAGTTTACTTGTTGATTTAATTGTTGTGTTGATTGTTCTTGTGTGTCCTAAATATGGCTCTTTGGAGACCTTGGGAAAATGCTCCAAGCCACGAGGAGATGGTTGATGAACCTGTGCAGGCAGAATTCTTTCATAAAGATTTAGAGGAACAGACCCAAAGAGTAATCCTAAATATGTATGATTGTCTGAAAAACGAAAATCCAGATTCCTCGCAAAATCAAATTTTAAACAGAATTTGTATCCTGACAAAAATCAGTCGGTCTACCATTTATCGAGTTATAAAAAGGGGAGATGTAGTCAACCATTCCTTCCACAGAAAGCGCATAGGGCAAAAATTAAAAAGAATAGACATGGGTTTTCGGGAAGATATTCTTCGTATAATATACGGATTTTATAAAGAAAATTTGGTGCCCACGTTGGAAATGATACGGGATAAATTAAAAGATTATCCTGAAGATTTTTATAATTACAAATGCTTAGACTCACTGCACTGTATTGTAAAACTGTGTGGTTTTCAATACAAAAAATTAGATAAAAGAATATAGATATAGATAGATAGATAAATATAGATAGCAGAAAAGAAATCTGATTTACCTGGAAGAAACGTGGTATGATACCCATGATGTTGTGCAGTACGGCTGGGTTGACGACAGCAACAAGTGCATTTTAAATGCACCATGCAACCGTGGAAAACGAATCATTATTCTCCATGCTGGCAGTGAAAATGGATGTATACCTAATGCCTTGCTGTTATTTGCCAAAAATATCAAAGAAACATGTGCCGACTATCATGAGGACATGACCTCCGACTTATTTGAAAAGTGGATAGAGCAGCAGTTAATACCAAACATTTCCCCAAATTCAGTGATTATTATGGACAAAGCGCCATACCATTCCCAACAAAACAACAAAATTCCGAATACAGGCACAAAAAAACAAGACATTATTGATTTTATGAAGGATAAGGGAATGGAAATACCACAAAAATCAACCAAAGCCATATTATTGGATCTTATTCAAAGACAAAAATTTGAAAAAGAGTATGTTGTTGACAATCTGCTTCAGCAAAATGGCCATGAAGTATTACGTCTACCTCCCTATTACTGCATTTTTAACCCGATTGAGTTGGTCTGGGCTGCTTTAAAAAAAAAAGTAAGAAAACATAATCAGACCCCTCAATTAAGTGAATCGCTATTGGCCACAATAAGAGATGCAGTATCTCATATTGCTGCCACAGACCTATGGAAGCAGTGTTCTAGGCATATTATTGAAAAAGAAAATGAATATTGTGTTTTGCCTCCTGTAAATCCCGTTGTAATTCCTCTACAAGATGACTCTAGCGACAGCTCCGAAGGCGAGGATGATATATAAATACCTATAATGTAAGTCTTTATATACCTTTTTATATATCTACCTGCTATGTAAATATTTGCCTATGTCAAACGTTGGAATTCTGTAATTTTTCCATTTCTTAACTTTCAGTCAACATAAATTAAACTCCCAATATAAGTATTTTTTATCCCAAATCAAAAAAATAAGAAGATAGTAAAATCCATTTATTGTGATGATGATGAAAACATTATTATTATCGTTCTAAATAAAGGTTTTTATGCTATTTCAAGAGACTTCAGATAAAGTATACGTTCATCATAACTCGCAAGGCCAGATCCTGAATCTGTTTCCAAACAAATGTCTGGCTTCACTGCAATGGCAAAGCATTTATAATGCGACAGGTCGACTTCAGTTATTTTTTCTTTCTAGAAATACTATCTAGGACACATCGGCTGAACGACCAATAAATTTTCATTTAGTTTTAGTGCAGGTGCATTGCCAACGATTTGCTTTCCGATGGTCATACTGAGTTTGTGTCATTAGATCAAAACAAAGACTACTTTGTCTCTCATAGTTAGATGCTATTCATGATACAGATGCTATTCTAAGAGATTTTCTTATTTTCAGTACCATTGCTTCCATTTTGTCAAAGTGGTATAATAAATCCCTATATAATAACTAAGAAAACGTCGTTTTACCTTTTGAGCAAAGGTAATAAAAAATTGTATCGCCAGTTTTTCCGGTGTGCTTACTGATGAAGTATCTAAATAAAATCAGTTCTATGGTCCCATTCGTTGCAGAAGTGGGTCATTCCCGAGAAAAAATGTTTTTACAAAAAACGTAGCAGTCATTCTTCTTCGGAATTATTCTCAGCTTACTGTTCAAAATTCTAATGCATTAAAGTGATGCTATTCTTTCAGTGACTAGTGCTGCGCTCAAGTCACTAAGTGCTTAAACATTACAAATCCAATTAAAAAAGTCAATAAGATCTCAGAGAACTTAGTAATATCACAAGACATCTATACATGTATATCGGAGAGAAATCACAGACTGAGTTCCAGAATTAAAAAAATCTACCATTCTTTTCAAGTATAAGTTTTTGAAGACGTATTTATTGTATATTATCTCTCCCAGCTTTGGTTGTGAGATTTATAACCAGAAGATACATTGGAGAGTATGACCCAACGTTAGAGAAAATCTACACTTTCCACACCGTTTTGGACGACGAGATGGTATCCTTCGATATTTTAGATACAGCTGGACAGCCACATGTAAGTAATGATATCCTTGAAAAAACATTTCCACTGAAGTATTCAAAATCGACGTATTCGCGGTGGAGCTATATTAAGAATCTTGTTTCACACCATTCTTAGTTATAATAAACATCTTCAGACAATTTTCATTTTAGGGTATAGACAAAAAAGTAACACATGAGCTCCCCAAAAAATTTACATATAGAGTGCGTTTGCAGAAGTAAACAAAGACAGTGACGACATCATCAATCAGCAATAAAATGAAAAAAGGAACAATGAATATGAAAGAATACACACAAGATTTGCAATCACAAACATTTTAAAAAGCACAAACACGAAATACGAAGCTCTACTGGGATTCTAAAGAGTCACTGTTGAAGAGATCATCAAGATTGTAGTATGCTTTGTTGATCAAGAAGCATTTTATCCTCATTTTGAATGGCTTGTCGCTAAGGAGCTTGAACTTATCTGTAATTGCATTATAGAAGCTAATTCAGTGCTAATCAATACCGTTTGTAGACGTTAGAGGTTATTTAACTTGTCACCCGTCATCAAAATCATCAATAAAGCAATAAATCTCAGTGGATATCACATTCTGTCCTGACAGTATCGACCGCACTCCAGCGAGATGTCAGGATACAAATTATATTAAAATCTGGAATTCGGCACGCACATCCGCTCTGTGATACGGATTCTTAATACAATATCCACCCCGTTCGTACAGCTGCTACGTTATTTACACTCACGATGTCGCACATACGAGTATAACCAGAGAGGGAGATATGAAGCTGGGTTTAAACTTTTCTGTTTTTGCATATGTAGTGATAACCTAATAATAACCTAAAGTCTGTTCTATTATGCGAATAATGAATAATCCTTTAGTTTTCCACTAATGCGAAAAATTTCTAATTTAAGGTGACAATAGTTGACTATGTATTTTTTTGTTCCCACCAACGGAGGGTTTTCGAAAATATCAAGGTCATGTCTTCTTTCAGAAAATGTATTTAAGTGACAGCGAAAATTTTACTCCCCCAAACTTCCAATATCGAGAAGGATATTTGGAAGGGTAAACTTGCCTGATGTCTGAAAATTCAGGGTTGACTGACGAAGATATAGTTTTTTCGATTTTCCGTTACATTTTCATATACAGGGTTTGTCCGGAAAGTAATAGGACTGAGTCGATTTAAAAAAATCGTTACAATTCTTTAATAACTTTCAAAATAGGCTCCTTCTGCGTCGATGCAGCGCTGGCAGCGGAATAGCCTTGAGAGCCGCGGTGCATGCTGCTTGGATCCCCTCTGTCGTCCGGGGGGGGGCACATCTGGGCTGTAGGGCGGCTGCGGAAGCATTGGGATGCCGGCCTTGGTCAGGTAGCTGTTCACAAGAAAGGCGGTGTGAGCCGGGGCGTTGTCGTGGTGCAACTTCCAATCGACTGCGATGTCTTGTCGGACCCGACTGAACCTTCGTTTGAGTCTCCTGAGCACTTCCACGTAAAACTTGGCGTTGACGGTTTGTCCAGGAGGAACAAATTCATGGTGGACGATGCCTTTGATGTCAAAAAAGACAATGAGTATCGTTTTCACTTTGGATTTGCCATTCTTCCCTTTTTTGGGCGAGGAGACGCCGTCGTGTGCCACTCGGAAGATTGCCTCTTTGTCTCGGGATCATACTCAAAGATCCACGACGCGTCACCTGTGATTACGTTATTCAGAAATTGGGGGTCACTTTCACACGTTCATATTTTCTTGGCACACTTCCACTCGCCGCAATTTCTTTTCGTCAGTGAGCACTTTTGGGACCATCTTCGCGCACACCTTGCGCATGTTCAAATGCTGTGTCACAATGTCATGAACCACAGATTTTGGTAAATTTAACATCTGGGCAATTAAACGAATACTTAGTCGAAGGTCTGAGTTCAAAACGTTGCGCGTACGAGTCACATTATCGGTGTTTGTCGAAGTCGAAGGTCTTCATCAGCGACCTCTTTCCGGCCCTCCAAAAAGGCCTGGTGCCACCGAAACACAGCACTTCTTGCTAAAGCAACACCTGGGTAAGCCTGCTTGATCATATCAAACGTCTCTGTCGCAGATTTACCGAGTTTCACACAGAATTTAATCGCGTACCTCTGCTCTAACGAACGTTGCATTTTGGACTTGCACCACTCACAGAAACACGTCACTCCGAAGTACAGTCATGGCGGAAGAAAATGAGTCCTATTACTTTCCGGACAAACCCTGTATGCATATACATTATGACCGTGACTTTCGATTATAAACTTCAATTACAGGAATCCGAATGTCTGGGTCTAGAGGCCAACATCAGATGGGCAGAAGCTTTCATCCTGATGTACTCAGTGACAGACAAATGCTCATTCGATGAATGTTATCGACTCAAGTTCCTCATCAACTACAACAAACGAAGAAGAAGACTGGGTAGCGGTGGAAAAGACGGGTGTGGAGATGTTCCAGTTGTCTTGGTAAGTCGATGGAAGCATTAAGGGAGCTACAGAACTTGAAGCGTATTTCAGAGACAGCTAAATCCAAGAATATTTAGATTTAGATTTTTTCGTTTGCTGAAAAGTCAACTGAAGTGGATTTCGTGATTCTTCGAATTAGGCGACTCACATATTTTCTTCCATGAAAAAATAATTTTTCACAAAGACTAGATTATCCCCGAATACATTTTCTTCATTTTTCATGTTACTATGAGTCACAGTCACAATAAATGTTGGATATTAGTGTTTGTAAAAATGATAACGATTTGAAATTTTTTGAAGGTTGGCAACAAGAACGACCAAATATATGATAGAATGGTATCTCACGAAGAGGGTCTGAAAAGAAGTAAAGAAATCGGTTGTGTATGTTTCCATGAAATTTCAGTGCGTGAGAGTATAGACCAAGTAAGTACAAGTGGATTTTTTGTTTGATAGACTAAATGAAGAAGTCAAATCAATGGAGAATGATTAAATGAAACGAGTGAAGTATGTTTACGTCTACTATTACCTATGAATGTGTTTATATGCTAGAGATATGTGGATTTATCATCATCTTAGGATAAAGATATTCCAAAAATACTCTAGATCGGCGTTCTGCATAACTACACGGAATTTCGCTCACAAAAATAAGTCACAGTCTAAATTTAAATTGAGACATCATGTTAATGATCTTGTTAGCCACAGTTTATGATGTGTAACATTCTTTTATATCTTAGCAGGAAAATAAAATACGTACACGAGGAAATGAGAAAGTGTAGGTAGTTTTATAAATACGAGCAGAGGATCGTACCCAAAAGCGGACCATCATTTTGTTGTTGATTTAAAAAAATAGCGTCAGCTGGGTTAACTCTACACTTTACACGTAACGATGATCAGTTCGTAAGGGATTATTATCGACACAAGTTATCCGCTCTGAGAAAAAGTTCCCATGCAACGCCGTCATACACGAATAGGTACAGTTTATTGTAAACGTATCAAGCCCTCACAATTAGTGTATATACATTCTTGCCCTAACCTACCGGCAGTCAATCTGGCAACATCGCCTCTCTCCGATACCTGACCGCACAAAGCGCGGCAGTAGGGTCAGAACATTTGCCACTGCAGGTACGCTCGCCACTGATTCCAGACAGCAGAATAGGGTCGCGTACCGAAAGCACTTCTCTATCATTTGTAACTAGAGCATATCCAAGTTTCCTGAAGAGAAACGAGGAAACTATAGTTACCAACTCAGTTAAGGATTGATCTGATTTATTCTCAATCAAGTGAATGAAGAAGTTAAAATAATGAGGAGAACGGTTTCAAATCTACAAAGTTGTATTTTGTTGGGATAAATTGAATTCCTGTCTTTCCTTTCTCGTTGAAATTTTTCGAAAAGTTGAGATATGTAGCGAACTAGAAAATAACATGGCGAAAAGTCAAAATACAGGGTTTGTCCGGAAAGTAATACGACTCAGTTTCTTCAAATGAAGCGTTCGTTAGAGCAGAGGTACGCGATTAAATTCTGTGTGAAACTCGGTAAAACTGCGACCGAGACGTTTAATATGATCAAGCGGGCTTACCCAGGTGTTGCTTTAGCAAGAAGTGCTGTGTTTCGGTGGCACCAGGCCTTTTTGGAGGGCCGGGAAGAGGTCGCTGATGAAGACCTTCGACTTCGACAAACACCGATAATGTGACTCGTGTGCGCAAAGTTTTGAACTCAGACCGTCGACTAAGTATTCGTTTAATTGCCCAGATGTTAAATTTACCAAAGTCTGTGGTTCATGACATTGTGACACAGCATTTGGACATGCGCAAGGTGTGCGCGCAGATGGTCCCAAAAGTGCTCACTGACGACCAGAAATTGCGGCGAGTGGAAGTGTGCCAAGAAAATTTGAACATGTGTGAAAGTGACTCCCAATTTTTAAATAACGTAATCACAGGTGACGCGTCGTAGATCTTTGAGTATGATCCCGAGACAAAGAGGCAATCTTCCGAGTGGTACACGACGGCGTCTCCTCGCCCAAAAAAGGGAAGAATGAGCAAATCCAAAGTAAAAACGATGTTCATTGTCTTTTTTGACATCAAAGGCATCGTCCACCATGAATTTGTTCCTCCTGGACAAACCGTCAATGCCAAATTTTACGAGAAAGTGCTCAGGAGACTCAAACGAAGGGTCAGTCGGGTCCGACAAGACATCGCAGCCGACTGGAAGTTGCACCACGACAACGCCCCGGCTCACACCGCCTTACTTGCGAACAGCTACCTGACCAAGGCCGGCATCCCAATGCTTCCGCAGCCGCCCTACAGCCCAGATGTGCCCCCCCCCCTGACATTTTTTTGTTTCCTCGCCTGAAAAGGCCGATGAAAGGCATTTTGAGACGACAGAGAGGATCCAAACAGCATGCACCGCGGCTCTCAAGGCTATTCCGGAGAATGCCTTCCGTGACGCCTTCAATGCTTGGAAATCGCGCTGGCAGCGCTGCATCGACGCAGAAGGAACCTATTTTGAAAGTTTTTAGAAAATTGTAACGATTGGCTCAATAAATTTTTTTAAGTCGACTCAGTCCTATTACTTTCCGGACAAACCCTGTATGTTTTGATGGGCAGCAAAAATCGATGATAAGTTTTAAGGTAAGGGAATAGTATTCGAATACCAGCTAAATGTATTTTGAATAGGATTCAGAATACCGAGCATTTGAAAAGAACCGGAAATAAGACAGACAAATGGCGCTGTGTGCTGCCTCAGGAAATCAAAGGCAAACTAAGGCATTAGGTGCATGTTCAATCCCAAATTAAAGAGACATCTGGAAAGGGTGCATGTGAAGGTTTCCAAGCCAAATTTTGTTTTCTTTGTAGGTATGGGATGTGTTCCGAGACGTGTGTAGTTTCTGGAGGGTCCACAGTAAGAATCCCAGTAGACTAAAACGCAGCGTTAGCGAAAAAGAACCAATTTCTCTCGACACAATTAGACTGTTAAGCTCCGCAGCTGTCTCCCCGACTAGTATGACCTCATGTAACTACAAACCAGGTACCTCAGGTAAGCTATGACGTGATATTTATCAGATTATAGGATTTTTTGTATTCACCTACCGTCATTTCTTTCTTTTATATTTCTCCATCCACTAATGATATCTGAACAGATTGACTTGATCTACTCACCTAGAGAACTTCAACCAAGAGCTCCTTTGACTAACACTGGTATATGGCTTTTTCCTTGATAAAAATGGATTTTGTGTAAACACATTAAGCCAGCCATATGAGTTAGGTTATACCTAGCGGGTTTATCTGAACACCTGAACTACCCAAGCAACCCAAAATAAATTATGAAATGTTCATGTTTTTTATTTTATGGATATACCTACGCTGTTCAACTATTCAGCACTGAGCTCAAAAACTTACAAGACCGGTGTGACTGCATGACTACTTTTGAGTTTTTGACCATACTTTCTTTTTCAGGTCTCCGTTGGACCGAAGAAGAACTAGAAGAAGAAACCGAATCCTCCGATGGTAAACAAGAGAGCAGTAGCGCTTCAAGTCCTGGAGTTGAATCACCTCCATTCAGAGAGCGCGCTTCAACAGACGGCCATATCCACAAACGACCTTGGAGGTGGCGAAACCCTCCTCCAGCATCTAGTAGCTCAACCTCTTCAGCAGATCATCAGTTCTATGGAACAGCCAAAGCTGAGAGAAGAATGAGTATATCTATGAGAGGAAGCAATGCTAGCTGCTAGGTCTTTTGATCCTCTGACATTTGACCGCCGGACTTCATTACCTCAACCTATTCAGCACTGACCTCAACCTCATCTACTAATCTGTACCTGAAGGCAAACAAAAGAGTATCAATGGCTCAAGTCCTGGAGTTTAATCTATTCAGCACTGGTCTCAACCTCGTCTACTAGTCCGTACCTGAGAGCAAACAAATGAGAATCAATGGCTCAAGTCCTGGAGTTGAAGCACAGCCATTCAGAGGACGCGCCTCAACAGACAGCCAAATTCACAAACAACCTTGGAGGTGGCGAAACCCTCCTCCAGCATCTAGTAGCTCAACCTCTTCAGCAGATCATCAGTTCTATGGAACAGCCAAAGCTGAGAGAAGAATGAGTATATCTATGAGAGGAAGCAATGCTAGCTGCTAGGTCTTTTGATCCTCTGACATTTGACCGCCGGACTTAATTACCTCAACCTATTCAGCACTGACCTCAACCTCATCTACTAATCTGTACCTGAAGGCAAACAAAAGAGTATCAATGGCTCAAGTCTTGGAGTTTAATCTATTCAGCACTGGTCTCAACCTCGTCTACTAGTCCGTACCTGAAAGCAAAACAAGGAGTATCAATGCATCAAGACCTGGAGTTGAAGCAGTTCCACTTAGATCACGCCCTTTGGAGGTATCAATTTCCTCCTCCAATTCTAGCTAATAGATTCATAGCTTTTCTGGCCTCTGAGCTCCAGTACTCTGACATTAATCTCTTCTACTGGTCCGAGACCGAAAGCCAACAGGAAAGTATCAATTCATTAATCCCTGGAGTTGAAGCAACGCCTTGCAGGGAATCGTCATATCCATAAAAGACCTTGGATATGGCGGAATACTCCTCTATGGAACAGCTGAAACTGAGAGGAGAATGAGTATATCCATACGTAGAAGTAATGTTGGGTTAATAGCTAGTTCGAACTTAGGTTCATCAATGCTTTAAGTTCTATGCACAAACTACCTCGGAGGTGATGGTATCCTCTTTCAAACTCCAGAGCCTCAACCTCTTCATTTCTACGATTGTATTATACCACTCAAAAACGTCTGTAAGACGTCTTAGTGGTGTGTAGTTTTCACAAGAGACTTTTTTAATAAGTCATAATCGTTAGCGACATATGGACGGACTCTTGTCGCTGAAAACCCGGTAACCGTTTTGTTTCTATATCCCAAAATGGGATTTCTTGAACTGCCAGACAGAGAAAAAGTATTTAAGATGCTATAAATAAAACTTAAATATGGTAAATGACATTGAAAATGCCGAAAAATATATATTGTTGCTAAACGTTAATAACATTTAGCAACAATCTCATTTACTACTGCAAGTTAATTTAAAATCATTTTGCACAATAGTTGCTATTTCTTCCCAATGTTATTGCAGCTCCTGATGAAGATGGTAAAGTCCATTGAAAGCTAGAGATTAATAAAGTATAAAGAGTATATATATATAAGATGACGGGGTGGTGATGTTTTGTGTAAGTGTCACAAGAGGCTTTCTTGATATATACATCACGTTCACGTCAGCGGTATTTAGACGTATTTTGAGCTTAAAATGGACGTCTTTATGACGTCTGGTGCTGTCGAAATAGCCATTACTCAGATTAGTAATTAAAATATATCGATCTGTATCATATCTCTGCGTTGAAAGCCCGGTATAGCTGTGTTATTTTTATACCTCAAAATGAAATTTCTTGAACTGCCAGATAGATGAAAAATATTTGAATCGCTATAAATCAAACATAAATGTATCTAATATATGTATATGCATAACAGTATACGTATATGATGATTGTTGGATATCTAAGAATTCTATAATATACTGTAAACGTTTTGTCAACGGACCTGTTACACTCAGTAAACGAAGCTAAATACATATATTCGTATTTTTGAAATACTGTAAAAGCCTTTATGTATTTTCTTAATTTTTGTACTTGTATATATCTACAATTCATTTTGCAAATAAAGTGTATGAATGTTCCGTCTTTTATTTGATTCTAAATGTGTAACTAGTAGGACCCGTGGATTAAAAATGGTGGTACTCCTATGACCATTCAAAAAAGGGTCATTAATTCGAACCACAGTCCTTCACGCTCCTTGTTCTGAGACCTTGAGCTTGACCAATGCCCTGTTTTGCTCTAGGACATATGAATCAAGTACGAGCACGGTTCGTCAAAACGGAATTTATAAAAACTTGCATAGGTATCTATAACATAAAATTAGGAGCCGCATTTAAGACAATTGAATAAATCTACAGAAAATAAAATGAGAGGATGTATAAAATTCTTGTAGGATAGGAACTCAGCGTACGCCTATTATCAAAGTCCAAATGAAGGAAATCCGCATGTTACCACAAGGGCATGAATTGGGCATATCACGAACAACGATTCAAAATATTTTGAAAAACCATAGGTTAGTTCTAATGGCTATCAAGATATAGGGATTTATTTCAATTTAACTAACGGACGCAGGAAAGTAAACGCATATTAAAACAAGAAAGATTGATATTCAAATCAAGTTGGGTACTTTATTTTGAAGGTTCATTCATACCATTTATGTATGAAAAATAATATCGCTCAAATGACTGGATTTACAGACGTCCACGCTATGGTCGAAATTTTCAATGACATTTTGCAACATGGTCGGTTCTATGGCATTTATCTATGATGTTGTTTTTGAGTTCTTGGGGGGTGGCTGGTTTGTTGACGTAGACTTTGCTTTTCAAATATCTCCATAAAAAGAAGTCCAAGGGAGTCAAATCGCACGATCTTGGTGGCCATGGCACATTTCCTCTGCGCGAAAACACGCGATCACCGAAGAAGGACTGCAATCGATGGATATTGACTTTGGTTGTGTGGCATGTTGCACCGTCTTGTTGGAAATAAACATCGTCCATATCCATTCCTTCAAGTTGCGGCAAAAAATAGTCCTCTATCATCACGTGATATCGCTCAGAATTGACGGTAACGGCGTCCCCGGCCGCATTTTCGAAAAAGTAAGGTCCGCCTTTTGACCACAATGCACACCACACAGTCACTTTTTGAGGATCCATCGGCTGCTCTTGATACTCACGGGGATTTTCGTTCGCCCAGATGCGGCAGTTTTGCTTGTTTACCGTCCCATTCAAAGTGCGCTTCGCTTCGTCGTCGCTGAACATGATTTTTGATGAAAAATTGGCATCAATTTGGCGGTGTTCAAGGAGCCAATCTGAGAACGTTCGGCGCGAAAAAAGGTCGGCCCGACGCAGGTCTTGCGTCAATTGGATCTTGCAGTCGTGTAAATTTAAATCCTTGTGGAGAATGCGGAGCAAACTGGTTCTCGAAATGCCCAATTCTTGGGATCGACGCGTTGTTAATTGTTTCGGATCGTCTCTCACACTCTCCTTCACAACAGCAATATTTTCCGGTGGGCGAACGCTCCTTGGCCGGCCAGAGCCTGGCAGATTTGCCACAGAACCTGTTGCCTCGAATTTACGCACCAGACGACCGATGGTTGTTTCGTTTGGGCGGTTGTTGCGACCGAAATGTTCATGAAGCGCGCGAAACGTATTTTTTATTTTTGCACCATTTTTGTAGTGCTCTTGAATAACTTTGTTGCGGTCTTCAATCGAATACGACTCCATAGCGATCAATGGTAAGCATTCAACTAACAAAATGACATGTTGGTGACAGAAAACAAAGATGGCGTCTATGTCAAATTGACGTTTACTTTCCTGCGTCCCTATTGGACAACCTTTTACTACTTACTTCTAGAATGCACCCATATTCAGAAATGCATGGTCAGCATTTCGAGCATTTAAGGGGGCACCGAAAATCTTTTGTTTTAAGGCGGTCCTTTTCAGGTCCCAAAACTTAATAATAGAAGAAATTCCAGAACAATTAGATTAAACAAGATATCGAGATGCGGTTCTCGCGAGCTTGCTTAGACATCATTTTTCATTAAAAAATTATACCAATGCATTTTCTTTTTTTTCACATTATTCTCTCTAAAGGTCAGGTATTTTTTTGTTAGGTTAATATTACGGAATTCACAACATAATTTTTTTATTCAAGATTGCAGTTACGCCCCTAGTGGACATTTCGGAAATTTGGAAATATTTTCCAGACATCCAAAAAATATAAAACATTTTCGAAAATCTGCGATTGCAATGCTTTCCTGCCATAGTATGTACAATTTATGATGCTCTTATGGAAAAGTTTTTAGAGCTGCTCTTATTAATAAGAAGCTAGAGTAGTTCGTTGATTATACAGGGTGTAAACGTTATGGTAGTCATTATTGAAATAGGTATTAGGGGGGGGTCAAAACGAGTCAAAAAGTTCGTATGACCCGTGGTCCAAAAGTCAATAGATTTTTGTCTAAATTATAGTTTACAACTTTAGGTTCGACCGCAATCACCACAACCTTACTAATTTTTATAATCTAATCTAAAAAGTTTTTAAATTGGGTAATTAACAAATAAATGGCATTAAGTTTTTCTAAGGTAAGCCAAAATTTGTAGTCAGTAAGTAAGTTTTATTAAATTAAATATTTAAAACACACATGGCAACAGCGCGTCGGTCATCATCACTCTTCTCGAACCGGCAATCGATCTCAAACGGTAACAATGGTTAGTATGTTGTTTTGTTTTTGTTCGCGTACGTCGTCTTTTTGATTTACAATGTTCTCGAATCGAGAGTTCGCCGACATGTTGTTAGTTTACGGTGAATTCAAATCTTGCAGCTGAAATTTATCGCGACAGATTTCGCCAACGGGTACACCCAGACAGAAGGACAGTTTACCTTTTTTAGATTGACTCTTGTTCTCAACAAAAACGAAACATAAGGAATCAATCATTTCTTGGATGTTTTAAGATTCATCAACTTCAGCAACGTTAAAATTCTAATTTTTTCATTTTGTTTTTCGGTGCTGAAAATGGAATTTTGCGCTCTTTGAATATTAATTCGCTTATATCTCGAACACTAACGACTTTAGCGAAAAGTTCGTGACAACCTTCTTGCTTAGAACCATCCAAAAAATGTCCGTAAACAAAAATGCATTATTTGGAATTTGTCTTATAAATGTTTAAACAATTCTAGGCCTTGTACATGCCTACTCGTTAAAAGTCCTTTTCAAATATCATTCTGAAAAAAAAAACGAATAAAATATTGTTCAAACCGAATGCAAAGATACCTTTTGGACTATAAATCAATCTGGTGGGCTCCCATTTTCGGTAAAATGATACATCGATGAAACTCATCTAAATAAAACACAAATGCAACAAAACACACCACATTGTACAAAAAATATATATTTCCTTTGATTCTAACTGGAAATGCTGAAGTAGACATTATTGTCAAATATGGGCTTCGTTAATTCCTTAAATAAAACCTTTTTCTTCTAGCAACAATCTCACATACTACTGTAAGTTAATTTAAATCATTTTGCACAATAGTTGCTATTTCTTCCCAATGTTATTGCAGCTCCTGATGAAGATGGCAAAGCCCATTGAAAGCTAGAGGTTAACAAAGTATAAATAGTGTCACAAGAGGCTTTCTTAATACTCTTACATCACGTTCACGTCAGCGGCATTTAGACGAATTTTGAACTTAAATTGGACATCTTTAAGACGTCTGGTGGGCTTCCATTTTCGGTAAAATTATACATCGATGAAACTCATCTAAATAAAACACAAATGCAACAAAACACACCACATTGTACAAAAAATATATATTTCCTTTGATTCTAACTGGAAATGCTGAAGTAGACATTATTGTCAAATATGGGCTTCGTTAATTCCTTAAATAAAACCTTTTTCTTCTAGCAACAATCTCACATACTACTGTAAGTTAATTTAAATCATTTTGCACAATAGTTGCTATTTCTTCCCAATGTTATTGCAGCTCCTGATGAAGATGGCAAAGCCCATTGAAAGCTAGAGGTTAACAAAGTATAAATAGTGTCACAAGAGGCTTTCTTAATACTCGTACATCACGTTCACGTCAGCGGCATTTAGACGAATTTTGAACTTAAATTGGACATCTTTAAGACGTCTGGTGGGCTTCCATTTTCGGTAAAATTATACATCGATGAAACTCATCTAAATAAAACACAAATGCAACAAAACACACCACATTGTACAAAAAATATATATTTCCTTTGATTCTAACTGGAAATGCTGAAGTTGACATTATTGTCAAATATGGGCTTCGTTAATTCCTTAAATAAAACCTTTTTCTTCTAGCAACAATCTCACATACTACTGTAAGTTAATTTAAATCATTTTGCACAATAGTTGCTATTTCTTCCCAATGTTATTGCAGCTCCTGATGAAGATGGCAAAGCCCATTGAAAGCTAGAGGTTAACAAAGTATAAATAGTGTCACAAGAGGCTTTCTTAATACTCGTACATCACGTTCACGTCAGCGGCATTTAGACGAATTTTGAACTTAAATTGGACATCTTTAAGACGTCTGGTGGGCTTCCATTTTCGGTAAAATTATACATCGATGAAACTCATCTAAATAAAACACAAATGCCAAAAACCACCACATGGTACAAAAAATATATATTTCCTTTGATTCTAACTAGAAATGCTGAAGTTGACATTATTGTCAAATATGGGCTCCGTTAATTCCTTAAATAAAACCTTTTTCTTTTTCAATAAACATTACACACATATATCACAATACCTCAATTCGATGAAAATCAAAAAAATGTCAATAACAATCACGACACGGTATTAACTTCTTCGTTCCTTTTTTCCGTCACCATCATAATTTCACTCAACTGAAATGCAGAAACTACTGGAGTATCCACAGGTACAACCTTATCGAACCTCGAGTGATCAATCCTATACCCTTCTTTATCTAAATCTACACTGATCATAGATTCAAACCTATGCCCCCACAACACTTCGCTAGCAAGATAGCTTGATCTAGCTTGAGTCTTTTGGTCCGTACTTTCTATCGTTCCCTCCAAGATGACTACGATCTCAAACTTCTGTGTCAGCAGATCGTTAGCAGACAGATGGTAGAATGGAGAAGAAGGATCTATCTTGTGGACAAATGTCATTGGCCAAATAAGGAAGAGATCGCCATCGCAATCATCTACACTGACAGATATCTTCGTGTGATACGTGCAAAAAGTTTCACCTTCTTTGGTTTGTTTGGGTCGTATCAGTTGTGTCTTCACTTTAGCTTCTATGATTCTGCTGCTTTTCCTCATATCCCCAATGCGAAACATCAGACATAGCGTGCCTTCTCTCATACATATCACTGCATATTTGGAAAACCTCAAGGTTTTTGTTCTCAGCTTAGGCCTTGTCATCTTTGCGAAGACAGTACCGACTAGAAAAGCTTCTATGATGTAGCCCACAATGTTCTGGAAGCACATCAAAAATATCGCAGTTTTGCACTCATCTGTAGGTGACCTCGTCCCATACCCCGTTGTGATCTGCGTCTCAACGGAAAACAGAAACGCTGAAGCATAGTCGTGCAATTCTGTGACGCAAGGAGTCCAATTCGAGGTAATCTGATTCCATGGAAGATGATGTTCCTCCAAATCTCCGTGTATGTAAGCCAGAAGGAGCCAAGCAACTCCGAAAATGGCCCAGGAGATGAAGAATCCTAGGACGAATATGGCGAGGGTCCATCGCCATTTGAGGTCAACCAACGTGACGAAGAGGTCTTGCAGAAACGATTTTCGTGGAACACTAGTCTGGTGAATGTTGCAGTCGCCATTTTTGAGCACTGCGCGAAGTGTTGGTGTTTTCGGTGTAAAATGTGACCTGAAACAGAAAATGGCGTCTAGTAGGTTGATCTGAAGTCGCTATGCACCGATATCGTCAGTTCATAAAGGATTATGTTCGACTCTGAGCTGCGAACATGTATAACAAAGAAACTGAACACATCAAGCCGGTCAAACGTACCCATACAATTAATCAATAGAATATTTTCCATGCTGTACCGGCAAACGCGTCCATCATCTGGCAGGTTGCTATGATGGAAATGTATACTAAGTGACATATAAATCCGAACACCCAGTTTAAATGGTTTTATTTTAATAAAATTTTGTATAAGTACTTAATGAAGCATAATAAGTAAATGATAAAAATTTCAAAATGATTGCACTGCTTTAAAGCCCTTTGACCTTTAATAATGGAATTTTCAATGGCGACAGATGTTCCAACATGATGGCTGCCCTGCACACTGGAAGCTAATTGTGCGACAACATCTGAATGATGTTTTCCCGACTGCGTGGATTGGACGAGATGTTCCTATTCTATGGCCTGCACGCTCCCCAGACCTAACTCCATTGGATTTTTACATCTGGGGACGTGCAAAAAGCACTCGTCTACGCGACAGCAGTTGGAATAAGGGAGGAACTGATACGAAGAATAGAAGAGGCGTTTGGTACGATTCGGCAAGAAATTCGCCTCCGTACGACAACCGTCGTGCGTGCATACGCAATAGAGGACAACAATTCGAACAAGATTTGTGAAACAGAAAAAATAATAAATGATTGAAATTTGCTTTTACACGTTTTTTTTATTTTCCTTCTGCTGTACACAAAATTTTCAAATTCAATATGTTAGTTAAACTTTTTTGTGACTTGTGGCATAACGTTAGAATCGGGATAAACTAGAGTAGTTTTTAAAAGAATTCTAAGAACGTGAACGCTTTTAGTTTTTTTTACAGAAATTCAAAATTGATACTTACATTTTTTTGTTGTTTTTTGTAATCCTTTGTCAGTTTATAAATAAAAAACTACATGCTGCTGGCAAGTAATGTTGATTTTGTAAGATTGGTGCAACATCACCCATTAAGATAGATTAAGCATTAGGTGGACATACTCTTTATTTTTTTTATTCCACTTTGTGTATTACATGTTAGAGTTTCTGCTAAAAAAATTAAAAAATCTACATAATTTGGCAAACGATGCACCAAACCCCCTGTATCGCTTACAAGACAAAAAAGTGTGTTAAACTGCCAAGGTGGCGCGATCAACAAATGTCTATTAAAACGGACTAAAAAAATTAAATCTTGTAATTATGTGTTTTTCAGGTTCGTAGACTTATTTGAAAAAAATAATCGGGAATCCACATCTTCAAAACAGGACTTCTGATAGATTTTAAATAGGACCCTGTAAACCTTTTTCAGAAATCTGATTCTGCGTAGTTCTCTATTCAATGATGTATAACAAGTATTAATATTGTTGCCAAATGACTGCTGCATAAAATAATTTGTGAATTAAGCTACCAATCGCCGCAAGAAAGTAAGGAGGCCATGAAAATTTAGGACGTTTGCAAATAGCGTTTATTTGAAAAGAACAGTAGGCTGTGGAAAACAAATGAAAGTCAATTCATAGAGTACCCATTATTGTTTAGTTATTTGATGTTTGGCAGTCTTCGTTTCAATTAAATTTATTTTCACTTATTCCTATTCCATAAAAGGTAAACCTACATACTAAGATTTTTTCAAGAAAGGAGCAAGTTAAAATGCTATTAATGTTCGGTGAATGCAGAAAAATTTCTAGAAATGCTTGTGCGTTGTACATTAATAGAACACATCCAAGTTATTCATAGTTTTTCAATTCAGAAATAAGGATGTCTAAAAAATTTACCACGAACTGATTTCCGTAAGGTTTGTGCCTCCTCCTTTGAGGACATTTTTACATCTTTTCAATACAGTGATATCTTCTAAGCTCACAGAATCTTGAGAAACCATGTAAAATAGCATACCTTGGAGAGATCCACCTAAAATTAACCAAATTGATTCCCATAGACTACGCGATAAAACCACATTACAACTAAACTAAAAATATTTTGAACTATACACGCATTACTTTGAAGATATGTCGAACATTTCTACAATATCGCAATTATCCTCTTTAGCATTTGCGAAAAGACGATAACGAACAGTTGTTGATATTCTGAAGGTTAAGGTCCTTATCTTGAATACTTCAAGGTACTATTTAATAGGTAGATACCTCGTACACAATTATTATGTAGATATGGGCAAGTTTTTGCAAATTATGACAGAGTGTCAAAGATTAATTCTAAAAATTGCAGCATTTGATCAAATGCAAACAAATTCTCAGAGCTATTTCAAACTTCATAATTTCAAATTTCCAAGATTTTTTTAAAACTGCTAAAAGAGTAATGGTTAATTTTGACATTGTTTCATTATTTCGCGGTCAACGATGAATTTTGTTTCTCTTATTATACAGGGTGGTCCATAAGTCCTTTGAAATTTCAAATTTGAATAAAATTTAACGGGTGAGCGTGAGCGGCGCGGGCGAGGTGGGGGCAGTATCTTCAGTGTCTGGGATTTCAGTCGCCATGGAGTGTTTCACTGGAGCGGATCGTGCTTTTTGTGTGCGCGCGTTTTATCAAAATAATGATTCGGCAACCATTGCGCGGCGTAAATATCGAGAATACCACAATTTACACAATTTTACAAAGTGTCCAACAGCTCAAACGATTAAGAACTGGGTTGCTAAGTTCGAAGAGACTGGTTCGACGTTAGATAAACAGCGGTGGGGTCGACCAAGGACAACTCGTATTGAAGAAAACATCAACATTGTGGCACAGTCTGTTCGTCAAAATCCTACCCAGTCTACTCGTAAGCGTTCCAGTGCACTAAACGTACCCAGAACATCTTTACAGCGGATTTTAAGGAAAGATTTACGTCTGCACGCTTACAAAATTCAGTTAGTGCAGGAATTAAAAGATAATGACGCTATTCAGAGACTAAACTTTGCGAATGAAATGTTGAATCGATTTTCTTCGCTCAATAATGTGTTGTTCTCGGACGAGGCTCACTTCCATTTAAACGGGCATGTAAATAAACAAAATTGCCGTTATTGGAACCCCGAAAATCCAAGGCGTAAGCATCAGAAGCCCTTACACAGCCCTAAAGTTACAGTTTGGGCTGCTATGTCAGCGCATGGCATCGTAGACCCTTATTTTGTTGAGGACGACAGAGGTCGCGCTTTAACTGTTACTTCGGAGCGGTATGTAGCAACGATAGAAGAGTGATGATAGACCTGGTTTCAACAGGACGGAGCAACTGCCCACACCTCCAACACTTCTATGCCCGTCGTCTGTCAACTTTTTCCCAGCAAAGTAATTTCTCGAAGAGGAGACATTTCCTGGCCACCACGTAGTCCAGATTTGACCCCAATGGACCTCTTTTTATGGGGCTACCTCAAGAGTAAAGTGTACGACACCACTCCGCGATCAGTTGATGTCCTGAAAGAAAATATCCGAAGAGAAATGGCAAGCATTACAGTGTTGACTTGCCGCGCAGTCATCGACAATTTTAGACGTCGTTTATATGAGTGCCGTGATCGTATAGACGATGTGATGTTTTAAAACATAATTCCCATTCAATAAAGATGATAACAAAATATAATAATTCTTCATAATGTAACTAGTTTGGTTTTATTCCTTTTTTTCCAGCTCAAAGGACTCCTGTATTTGTTACAGTACAGCAATCACGGTAAGTATAGGTCTTTTCGCGGATTTTGAGGGTTACAGATCAATGTCATACGAAACTAGTAAATATATTAACTAACTTTACCATGGGCGGAACGTACGAGGGGATATTGATATATCTTTTGCCGAATTTTGACAATAATACTTCAGTGAAGCAAGCGCTTTTCCAGCAGAATTTTGCATAGTCAGGGTGTAATAATATCAAATCATCAACTGCATTGACATTTTCCGGGATTGGCACTGAGACGGGACTTCCAGATCTCTCATCCTCTTGACTGGATAACTGTCCTCTTTTGAAGCAAGCAATTTTTCAAGAGTACTGACTATGACCTTGTAAATCTTCTTGCCTCGTAAGCCCTTCAAATACAGGTTCTGAAACAATGGCTCGATATTCGATTTTCTCCATTTTCCAACTCGCGGCAGACATGTTTTCTATAATGTTTTTTGTTTCGTAACGCTTAAGCTTATCGACATGACGCTTTATATTGTGCATGTTGTTTATTGTGCATTCCAAATGGCCAAGTCTAACTAGATGTCAGTACCTCATCGTTACTTTCCTAAGTAAAATTGCACGCTGCCTGCCAGTCAGACCCGCGTGACTTCGGCATCCCATACTGACAGTATCGAACTTCGTACATCCAGAACTGGTCAATATGACCGCTTCTTGGTTCCTGATATATCAAGACTGTGGAAAAATCTACCTGAGGGGGCTTTTCTCTGATCTACTTACTTTAGGCAGTTCAAAAATTGGATTAACATAGTTGCTTTAAGCTCCTCGTAGCATCCGCGGTGCCCTGGTGTTCAGGCTTCCGCCTACACGGATGCTCTGGTATAAAAAAAGCAGACATACGAGCCCCTTCCCACTTCAGTTGGCCCAACTATTGAAATCTTAGTTTTTTTGTTATCAAACACAAATGATAAAAATGTAGCAGGGTGATATAGGTTTAAAATATTAACAATGAATATTTTGATATTATATAGTAGAAAACACCAACTGTATCACTCCCTAATCAAATTTGCAGCATAAAAATAACACATGTTGCAATTAGAGCATATCAACCTATTTTCATTTCAATGCAAAATAAGTCTATAACGCATAGGTGGCTGTGAAAAATAAAAGCCATGACAATAGTTTTAATTAATCACAGCTGTTAGAATACATTTAAAATAGTTTTGAGTAGTTAAGGTTTTCAAAATGGGTAGAGGAAAGGTTATTAGTGAGAAAATTCGGTTACTGATAAGTAAATTTTTTAATTCTGGGAAATCAAACTCAGAAATTTCCAGCATCCATTATGGTCTGGGGCAGTATGTCATCAAAAGGAGTAGTAAAACTTGATTTTATTGATAGAAATGTGGATACAAACAAATATTTGGCAATTTAAGAAGAATCGCTTTTACCAGTGATGGAAGAATGTTTGAAATCCGGCCAAGATTTTGTGTTTCAGCAAGACGGTGCAGCGTGCCATACCTCAAAAAAGCTATAAAATGGTTGGAAGAAAATAATGTACCATTTTTGAAATGTGTTTCTAGCGGTCCAGATTTGTCACCTATTGAAACTTTGTGGCACGAGATGAAAAAGGTTCTACGACAACATCCTGCTCGTACAATCACCGAACTGAGGCAAAAGTTTCAAGAAACATGGGATTGTTTTACACCAAATTTTTGCCAAAACTTGGTTAACACTATGCCCCAAAGAATTTCAGCCGTAATAAAAAATAAAGATGATGTTACCCAAAAAAGCTATTAAAGGTATACTGCTCAGCGAGTGGTTTTCCAGCGCAGACGACTCTTTTAATCATGTGTTTATAGTTTGTGTTTTATCATATGCCTCTGTTTTTTTACTTATTTGTCTTGTACTCATTTTTATATACATTGTTGAATACAACTTAGGCCTATATATTTTGCGTATCTAATGGTCAATAAATATTGCAATTACAATGAAAAATAAAAATGTACGGATAAGATTTAACAAATGTTACAAATCGTTCAACATGTTGCAGATCATGATGCAAAAAGAGCCATTACCCTTTATATAGTTGTACTGCTTTATCTCTACAAATCAGCGGGTAGGTCTGTTCCGCATACATATCTGGAGATTTGTGCAGGTCCCCATCGTTGTTCTGGTTTCCGTGGCACACAGCTCTGTTAGAGACAGCCGATGTTTCCATATTTCTGAAATAATATTTAGAAAAACTGATTCAGAATATGATTTGCCGACACATAGTCCGAGACCCACAAAATTATGTACGTGTACGTCCAGATTTTTATGATTGACCACTAGACTGCCCCAAAGAACATTCTTTTTCTCAAACGCACACCTTCTAATTGTGCTAGATGATGTTTTCCCAGAGCACACAGCCTGATAGTAATAAAACTCAAGTGAGGTAAAGTTTCATAACTCCAAAATTAATGGCAACTTGGTATAGGAGTCAGCTTAGTATGAGAAATGTTGCTTTTATCATTGAAGCAACCATTGAGACACTTGGACATAACACTGACGAGTTTCCTATAAGCATAAGAATTCATACCGAAAAGCGAAAGGGGCGCACAGAAGTAAAAAAGCTTGATTTCCAAAGCGAGGTACCGGATACAGTACTCGTAACTGACCACTGGGGTGGCAATTAATTAATAATAATAATTAATCAAGCGAGATGAGTATCAAAATTACCCTCCAGGTGACAATCGTGGGTATACAGGGTGTTCCTTAATGATGTGTGAATATTTAAGGGTTTGAATCTACATGAAAAATTAATGTTAGTTTGCTTTATGAACTATGGTCCAAAAATGTTTCCTTACAAAAACTCGGGGTGTTGAAGATTTAGGAAAAAAAATGGACATTAATTAATATTTTCAGAACCGCTTCAGATATTTCACTGATATTTAGTACGTAGTTGTAGTTAATAAAGTTGCATATTTTTTAATGCAAAAATAATTTTTAGCTTTAACAGTGGCGTGCGTACGGGTATTGACTTCGATATTTTGTAAGAAAAAAAAATGGTACGCCAATGATGTTTTGCCAAATAAAAATTATTTTTGAATACTCCATTCAATTTAAAACAAATGATCTCTGTTGAATTGTTTTCCTCCGATACGCCATTTTTGAGTAAAAAAATAAAAACCGTTCTATTGTCTAAAAATTAAACACATTGGGGATAATGAACAACAGCAACTCTCAACATAAACTGTTGAGAGAGGTAGTTGGCCTTGGGGGTGAAATAACAGCTATTTGTTCCTTTTCCGGTGGTGAGTCTTGTTTATTCCCTTTGTACAGTGCTGTAGTCTGCTACTAAACTTTCACAAACTTACAATAGGTATTTTTTAAAACTACTTTTAACAATTTTAGAGACAGGTTTTTGTGCTCTTATAATTAACGTGTGGACTGTATGTTATATTTTTCTCAACTCTTCTCACTGTTGCCACGTCGGGCACATTGTTCGTAACACGCGGAAACATAAACATAACATTAAAACCAACGAAATGATTACAAAAATTGTTGAAAATTGCCCCCCCCCCTTCACTTAGTATGCATGCTTCCGCCCTCCTTCTCATGGAATTGCGCACTCGTTGAAATAATTTTGTGGAAATTCTGAATGGCATTTCGAGAAAAATTAGCTTCGTCCGTGAACAGAATCATTGATTCAAATTGCGGATTTTATGTAATTTTTTGAAGATACCTCCGACAAAAGTTCACACGCCTTGGAAAATCAATGGAAAGTAATGCCTGTACTCTTAAAATATGGTAAAGATATAACAAAAAAATCAACTAAAATTCTCCAAACAATTTGATGGCAAATATTTAACTGTCTAGCGATCTTCCTCGCACTCGTTTCAGGATGTTCTTCGACTTCGTGCAGCACTGCTTCCTTAATTTCAGGTGTTCTCTACACACTTAGAGTTCTACGTTCAGATGTTCCTTTTCGGATAGAACCAGTTTCAACAAGGCCACGACGAATATTAGAAAAGGTTCGATTATCTAGCAAAGCACGATCGGGATATCTCTGGTGATAAATCCGTCTGGCTTGCTCACCATTACCGTCGGCAAGGCCATATACGTACTGCACTTACGCCATTTCTGCATTTGAATAATTCACGATTATTAACAAGATTGTAAAAACTAAATAATGAATAAGATGTCACAGCGAACAGACTTGAAAAACAGAGTCTTGACAGATGTCAAATGCCAGTGACATATTCCAGGGCAACTAGCTATTTATTGCTAAATTGCATTCTTCAATATATACTAAGTGACATATAAATCCGAACACCCAGTTTAAATGGTTTTACTCGTATTTTAATAAAATTTTGTATAAGTACTTAATGTAGCATAATAAGTAAATGATAAAAATTTCAAAATGATTGCACTGCTTTAAAGCCCTTTGACCTTTAATAATGTGTGGATGCACCCTGATGTGCTACGCATTCTCCAACGCGCCTAGGCATGCTTCTGATCAGGTGGTCAATGTCTTCCTGTGGTATCTCATTCCAGGCAACCACCAACTCCTCTCAAAGTGCTTCTAGAGTCTGAGGACGTTGCAAATTGAGCAATCTCCTACCCATCATATCCCACACGTGCTCAATTGGAGATAAATCGGGAGATCTTGGTGGCCATGGTAACAATGTGACATCATTATGTTGAAAGAAGTCTATTGTGACTCTTGCAACATGTGGTCGGGCATTATCTTGTTGGAAAATTGGATCTGCCAGGGTGTCAAGATAGGGTAAAAGATGGGGTTCTAGAACTTCGTGGATATAACGCTGCGCGTTCATGTTACCTCTGATGAAGATTAAAGGTGACCTGGAACCATAAGCTATAGCACCCCTAGCCATAACTCCAACAGTGTGATGAACATGTCTTTCAACAAAAAACTGTGGATTCCTCCTTTCACCACGTCGCCTTCTAACCCTGGCACGACTATCGTGCATGCCTAAACAAAATCGGGACTCGTCACTAAAGACAATACTGTTCCATTCCTGATCCCAGAGTGACCGTTGTCTGCACCACTCAAGGCGATTACGTCGGTGTTCTCGAGTTAAAGGGAGGACCCAGTGTGGCCGGTATGAAAACAAGCCAAAACTTCTCATTCGTCGGTAAACACTTCGCATGCCAATAGGTCTTCCGTGTTCTGCAAACCATTCATTTGCAATGGACCTGGTAGTGGAGAAACGGTCCCTTAAGGCCAATAATCTTAGGCGGCGATCCTCACGGTCTATTGTTCTACGGCGGCGTCCAATGCCCCTTGCTCTTTGCGTACGGCCTTCTCGAAGCCATGCCTGACAACACCTAACCACAGTGTCTACACTTCTTTGCACTCTAACTGCAATTGCCCGAAAAGAAAGTCCAGCTTCCCGAAGTCCCACTATACGGTCCCTATCAAACTCACTAAGTTGACGAAATCGTACAGGTCTCCGTACTTTAGGCATCGCAACCGATCGTAAAGGATGTCAAGAACCAAAATCCGCCAACGTTGATTCTTTACTGCGGCTGAAATATTCAGTTTTAGAGCGTTAGTGAATTAAAAAAAAGCAGTATAAAAACTGGAATGTCCAACTGATAAGGCTGAAAATTTTTTCACTTGTTATTTACAGTAAGATAAATACATTCACCAACTTTTATTAAAATAAAACCATTTAAACTGGGTGTTCGGATTTATATGTCACTTAGTATACATTAATTTTCTCGGACAATTCAACGGTTTTCATTTTTTAACTCAAAAATGGCGCATCGAAAAAAAAACAATTTACGTGAAATTATTTGTTTAAATTGAACGGGGAATTCAAAAATAATCTTTATTTGGCAAAAAACCATTGGCGTACCATTTTTTTCTTAAAAAATATCAAAGCCAATACTCGTACCCGCGGCACTGATAAAGCTAAAAATTATGTTTGCATTGAAAAATATGCAACTTTATTAACTTTCACTACGTACTAAATATCGGTGAAATATCTGAAGCGGTTCTGAAAATATTAATTAATTTCCACTGTTTCCTAAAACTTCAACACCCCGAGTTTTTGTAAGGAAACATTTTTGGACTATAGTTTATAAAGCAAACTAACATTAATTTTTCATGTTGATTCACACCCTTAAATATTGGCATATCATTAAGGAACACCCTGTATAACAATTGCGTTCATGAACATGGTATCCCAATCTATAACTTCTCAAACTGAAATATATTTGCAAAAATTAAAATATGATTTTGCGATTTTCAAAAAAATACGCGGCATTTATTACAAAATCATCATTTTCTGGATCTTACCTTTAAGCCAGATCATCACAAGTCACGGAGAAGAAAAGAAATGGTGCAATCGGAGATAAGTTTTCTTGAAGTTTCGAGTGGAACCGAATATTTACACTAGATAATTCTAAATTTGTTTTTCTAGCACATTAACAATCATTGCGTTGTAATTACATATAATACTGTACGAGTACGTACCACATTGCATGATGAGAGTGAAACTGATCTGATTTTTGTAGTTGACAGACCATTTCTGACCATGACCTTGCCTTTGTTCTACTCCAGGAAGAACATAATTATCATAAGTTAGCAAGAATTTTTCACGAACCTGTTGGAATTATAAAACATTGTGGAAGCTTTGATCATGTTTCTCTGTTGATTGGAGTATCATATTATGTCAGGAAGAGCTTTTTTGCAAAAATCTCCTAAATGAAAAGAACACTTACGAGGGGTGCTTTTTAAGTTTTGCATATAGAAACATAGTTTGCCGCGCGGATCGAACGTCAGTCCTGAATCTTAACCTCACTCTTCAGTAAACTTAAAATCAAAGTTTCACAACAATACGTGCAGTGTTCTCACTACAGTGAATTTTTAAGTGTCACCAAGTCATTAGAATTCAACCGAGATCATTTTCGCGCCATAATTTATTACAACTTTCAGAGACAATTATCGCAACAAGAATGCCTTGCTGAGCTACTGTCTGTTTTCGACAATTTTCCGTTGGTATGGAGAATTCCTGGACGGGTGAGTCTTAGCGACGATCGCAGGGTGGGTGCACCAAAAACGGCAGTCACCCAGGAAAACGTCGATGCTGTGCGCAAACTCATCATTGAAGATAGACATGTGACATATCGCGAGATTGAGGCATCCTTGAAGATCTCAAAGACCTCAATTCAAAAACTTTGACAAGAAGAATTAGGAGTAAGAAAATTAGTTTCTCGTTGACTGAAGAGCAGAAAACAGCCAGGGTTAATTGGTGTCAAAAAACGCTTGACCGTTTCAATTCCAGAAACTCAAAAAATGTGTACAGCATTGTTAGTGGTGATGAATCGTGGATTTACTGTTATGAACCAGAAAATAAACGACAGTCGGCTGCTTGGGTGTTCCAAGATGAAGAAAAGCCAACAAATGTCATCCGTTCTCGAAGTGTTTCGAACGCGACATTTGTGTCAAAAGCATATTGCAACAATTCCGCTTAATGAGCAAAGAACTGTTACTGCGGATTGGTACACCACCATTCGTTTGCCAAAAGTCATCACCGAGCTTCGAAGAATCAACCCCGAAAGAAGCATCATCCTCCACCAAGATAATGCAAGCTCGCACACAGCCCAAAAAACAAGGCAGTATTTAACGGAAGAAAACGTGGAATTATTGGACCATCCTCCATACAGTCCCGATCTAAGTCCTAACGATTTCTTTACTTTCCCGAAAATTAAAAACAGACTGCGTGGTCCAAGGTTCCAGTCACCAGAAGAAGCAGTTGACGCATTCAAAAATTCCGTTTTGGATCTGCCAGCAAACGAGTGGAATAATTGCTTCGAAAATTGGTTCGAGCCCATGCAGTTGTGTATTAATCTTTATGGAGAATACTTCAAAAAACAATAAAGTCATTTAAAACTACCTAGCGTGTTGTTTTATTTCCATATGCAAAACGTAAAAGACATCCCTCGTACATTAAGGACAAACGTTTTCTCAACAGCTTTTAAAAAGTCGCTAAGAACGCATAAAGCTCTATAATTTTCAACATTGGTTTTATCCCCGCTTTTGAATAAAATACAGACTCCGGCCTGTTTTGATATCAATTGAGAACTGTCTTTGACCAAAAAGAAAGGTATGTCATCAGGACCAGATGTCATTTTATTTTTCAATATATAGATTGCATCGATTACTTCATCTTCCGTAAGGCTTCTGGCGATGATTACCCTTAAAGAACTTTGAAGTTATTTTGAAAGTTAATCCGCCTGACATAGTTTACGTGTATTTGAAAAATTTATTCTTATCAGGAATTCGCTTGCCTCTTAAATACCTGAAAATATATTTTAACTACTGAAAAATTTACAATTCTCAAAAAATTTACTTAAACAACATCTTGCCTTCCTTGATTAATGAGGTGTTAGAACAAATTGAAGCTTTCACAAAGGACAATAACTCCAGGATTAAACAAAATATTTTCATTTTCGCAGATTATTTAATATCTGCTTCCTGGAACAATTAATTGATGTCCATATCATGAAACACGCAAATTGTTTTCCAGATGATATGCAAATTCAAAAAATTTGTGAAAAAACGTTATATGCATGATCACAAGCGCAAATTTCCTGCTACACATCGGGGTGACTATAGATGTTATTGATAAAATATGACTGCATTTTCTTATCTAACATCAGATAATTTTTAAGTTGTGGACAGCTAACTCTTGCTATTTATCGCCAGGAACTGACAAAATTTCAACGCCTTCTGAAAGCCTGCCTACTGATTGAATTTCTTAAGTGCATTCAAAGTACTCACTTTGATTTATGAGCTGAGCATTGATAGGAACACATGTTTCATCACAAAAGAAGACTTAATCAAAGACGCGACACGACTGGGTATAGTGTTGTAGATAGACATGGGCATAATAACAATTTTGCATTCTTTTATTATCCTGTTAAGTTAATTCGTCGGTAAAAAGCGATTTTGTCGCTTTCTCGTGGGCTGTTAGGTAGGTTGGTTTGATTATATAGCACATGAACATTTGTGCGTCACAAAAATATATGACTTGTTTCAACAGAGAACGCAGAAAACATATAAAACTTGGTACACTTAATAATTTGTGACACTGAGTTCAAAGAGTCAACTTGTTGAATAAATAGCTGCTAGCGTATAAATAGTTCCGCTATTGTTTGTTGTGATCGCACTGAGCGCCACCCATAGCGTTATCTATGGAGGAAGTTCGCCAGCGTGCTTTGTTGGTTGCAGAATGCCGAGACAGTCTGTAGAGTATGTATCTCTGAGAAGATGTGAAATAAAGCAGTAGCAGAGTAGCAATATCGCATCGATGATATTTGCTATGTGAAAAAGTCATTATTGAATATGCTACAAATGAAGTATATCTCGTAGCTGTGCCAGACGGGTTATTTATGTGTTGTCCTTTATAAAGAGATGTTATCTTCAAGGTTATATCCAAGGCTTTATTTTAAAAAAATATATTCACTCACCTTCAAAGCCACAGCGCACAAAAATTAAGAAAGACGTATCACACAGAAAATACTTTCGCAGTGCCTCACATCTACACGCTGGTTTGTATTTTCGTCTTGATATCGCAACATAAATTTCAATAAAATACGAGCCCCTTCCCACTTCAGTTGGGCCAACTATTGAAATCTTAGTTTTTTCTGATCAAAGACAAATGATAAAAATGTAGCAGGGTGTTATAGGTTTAAAATATTAACAATGAATATTCTGATAATATATAGTAGAAAACACCAACTTTATCAATCCCTAATCAAATTTGCAGCATAAAAATAACACATGTTGCAATTACAGCATATCAACCTATTTTCATTTCAATGCAAAGTAAGTCTATAACGCATAGGTGGCTGTGAAAAATAAAAGCCATGACAATTGTTTTTATTAATCACAGCTGTCAGAATACGTTTAAAATAGTTTTGGGTAGTTAAGGTTTTCAAAATGGGTAGAGGAAAGGTTATTAGTTGTTAGACTTATCGCGGTACAGTATGAGAAATATTGTTAGAAGATATAACGTAACTGGTTCAGTTAATATTAAGCCACGATATGTGAAAAAACGTAATATCACAAATGCCGACCGAAGAGCATTAAGAAGAATAATCGTGAAAAACAGGCGTGCCAATTATTTACAATTAAGTGCTCTGTGGAGTGACGCTGTTGGAAGGAGAATTTCGAGGTCCACAACTCATAGAGAAGCCCACAAACTAGGATTTAGCACTTGCAAGGTAAGTTTTCTTATAAAAAAAAGTGAAGTAAAAACCCTAAAGTTGCACAACTTGTTTATAGGCCAAATAAAAGCCACTATTAACTCCACTGCAAAAGAAAAATCGCCTTAGATGGGCTAAAGAACATAGACAATGGACACCTCAGCAATACAATGGAGTGATGAGGCCCGATTCGAAGTTTGTGTTGGTGACAGTCGCAGTAGAGTTATTCACAAAAAAAATGCATTCCATGTTGACTGTCTGAAGAGAAAAGTACAATTTCCAGCATCCATTATGGTCTGGGGCAGTATGTCATCTAAAGGAGTAGGAAAACTTCATTTTATTGATGGAAATGTGGATACAAACAAATATTTGGCAATTTTAGAAGAATCGCTTTTACCAGTGATGGAAGAATGTTTGACATCCGGCCAAGATTTTGTGTTTCTGCAAGATGGTGCAGCGTGCCATACCTCAAAAAAGTCTATAAAATGAATGGAAGAAAATAATGTACCACTTTTGAAATGGGTTTCTAGCAGTCCAGATCTGTCACCTATTGAAACTTTGTGGCACGAGATGAAAAAGGTTCTACGACAACATCCTGCTCGTACAATCACCGAATCGAGACAAAAGCTTCAAGAAATATGGGATTGTTTTACACCAAATTGTTGCCAAAACTTGATTAACACTATGGCCCAAAGAATTTCAGCCGTAATAAAAAATAAAGGTGATGTTACCCAATGGTAATCTTTCAATTGTTGCTTTGTTAACTTCGAGCATTTATTCGCACATTGTTTATTTGTTCAGATGTTCTATTAGTTATAGGTGAAAAAACGTTTTTTCTAATGTGTTCAACAAAATTTTGTGAACAGCTTTTGGCGCATTTTAACGTAAAAATAATAACGAGAATTTCAAAATGGCGGCTGTTTAGCTCAACAACTAATCATCGAAGCGTAACAGTATATCTAACTACTCCTTTGGAAAGGAATCTATCCGGATATTTTATACGCTCATTTTGTTCAAAAAATGAAAAAAAAAACAATGGAATGAGATATCACACGACCCCTCATTCCTATAGAAAAAATATACCAAAATGGCGTCCAGCCGCCATCTAGAAATTTTCAACTGCCGCTTGCATGCTGTGGTATTACCAGAGGTATTTTGGATCGCACTGATAATTTAAACAACTAACGACAACACAAGACGCTTTATTCATCTGTATCTATACATTTCGTGTAACGACAACACAACTCCAAAGACGTCTCTTTAAGATGGAATTACTTCCCACAATTTCTGTAAGGTATAACCTTCCTTCAACGTCTCAATAGCCAATCCCAATTCATTGTTATACACTGGTGGCCTGTCTTTATGCCCCTCATCTGCCAAATATGCTGCTATGGTGTTTCCTATCTCATTTTTCGTATCTTCTACCGCATCGAAATCTTCTACTAAATTGTGGTTTTGCTCTGGTAGGTTCTTGCTAGAACACCACTTGTATTCCACACCAAAAATCGGCTTGCTACTGTAGATGGTATGTAGAGAAGTTAGCTCTTTGTAGAGGGTCTTCATTTTCTCTTCAGGGTCTACTTTGAAGCCAAGGATAAAGCCTCCACTTGATTCTGTACTGGTTATTACCAAAGCGATGCCGAATTTGGATTCTCTGATGCATATCTGGAAGAAGAAATAAAAAACCCTCAGAAGTAGGTGGGTTTTTCGTGTTCTCGGAGGGCTTTCAGCGAAAAAAAACGGTGCGTTTGTTTTGCAAGAGAACAAAGATAGTCCAAACCAGGTGCTGGCCGCGTCGATAACCAAACCTTTACACGTCGGTTCAAAAAAAAACAAAACAAAAATTACACACTCGTACAGAAATATCGGAGTTGTACATATTATTTTAACTTAAGGTGAGTGCCTTCGTAATGCTATCGCGGCTTCGCGAGTGCATGCAGACCGTTTTTTAAAATCCTTCGCGATTTCTTTTACAGTTGGGGCGATATGAAATGCTTAGTGTATAAAACAATTGACGAACCACGTGTGTGAATTTAGTAATCTGCTGTTTATACAGATACTTTAAATTGTTTTTCGATGAACGGTGAGTATTTTTTGATCTATTATTTTTTAGCTTTGTTATTGCAAACGCAGTTGTTACTGAAAGGGAAAGTCACAACTTTCCGAATACCCTGTATTTATCATCTACTATACTATAACTATTTAAAACTGTAATGACTCATACGCGTGATCAACACGTGATCAGAGCTCGATCCCGGCTTCCTTTAAGTACAGCCGTATAGCGTACGATATATGTCGTTTCTGTGGCTTTGCGGTGGTCAACAGCACAGACAGAGATGGAAATAATGGCTGATTGTTCTCCACCGGTAGAACCAATGAAATCAAAGACGCGCCTCCACCGGCAGACTCATAGGCGTCGGCAACGCATTGGAACGTGTTTCGTTGAGCGATCGCATATTGTGTGTTTTTATAAGAATTGTTGTGTGATTGTTATTGTTGTGGTTTCTGTGGTTACTGTTTTGGTTATACTTAACCATGGAGAGTACAAATGGCACGAGTGGAAGTACTGAAAGCCAGGGAACAAGTAGACGGCTTCGTAAAGCACTGAAGAGGGACGCGAAAGAAATCGTGCTCAACGTGTTCAATTATCTGAACAGAACTATGACGCAGGGAGATGCACTCGCGCGTTGTGAAAGTATGACAGGCGTTCCAGAGTGGACCATTCGCAGGGTGGTGCATGAAAAGAAGAAAACTGGAGCTACTACTGATCCAAAGTTTAATTTGAAAGGACGAAAGGCCGTTAAATTGGATGACGATAGCAAAATGGCGTTAAGGCGAACCGTACATTCATTCTTCTTTAGGAATGAGATACCAACCCTCAAGGCTGTACATGCAGCGATCAAGGAAAATAAAATTATACCCCAAATGAGCGTCGAGGTAATGAGGAAATCCCTGCACGAAATTAATTTTCGTTACGAAACGCGTAATCGGAAGTCAGTATTGATAGAAAGACCTGAAATAGTCGCCTGGCGTCGAAAATACCTACGCGAAATGATTGAATATAGGCGACAAAGCAGAAAAATCTATTATTTGGACGAGACATGGGTAAATGTAGGTCACACAGTTAAAAAAACCTGGATAGACAAAAACGTAGTGAGTAACCGACAAGCAAGCATTGAAGGTTTGCCAACAGGTCTTCGTGGACCGTCAGGGAAAGGTCAAAGATTGATCGTAACTCATATTGGTAGCGATAGTGGCTTTTTAGAAGAGTGTGACTTGATTTTCGTCTCTAAGAAAGGAGGTGATTACCATGACGAAATGAATGCCAGCTGCTTCGAGAGCTAGTTTCAAGGGGTGCTTCAGCGAGTTGAGCCCAACTCTGTGATCGTCATGGATAATGTTTCCTACCAGAGTCGTCGAGCCGAACGTGTACCGACTATGGGATCTCGAAAAAGTGACATGCAGCAATGGTTGCGCGAAAAAGGAATCCCGTTTGACAATTCATGTGTGAAAGCGGAATTGTATGAAAAAATTAAACAGCACAAACCTGCGAACATTAGTTACGTGACTGATGAGATGGCCCGTCAATGTGGTGTCACTATGCTGCGGTTACCGCCCTACCACTGTGAACTGAACCCAATACAGCTCATCTGGGCTCAAGTGAAGGGTTATATTGCGCGCCATAACACAACCTTCAAATTACCAGACGTTAAGGTTTTACTTGAGACTTCCATACAGCTAGTAACGCCCGAAGCTTGGCAGAATGCTATCCGTCATGTTGTGAAGGAAGAAACAAAAATGTGGCAGCTTGACCACCACATCGACACCATCATAGAGCCAGTTATAGTCAATTTCAACGAGGAATGCGATAGCGACAGTTTATTACTGTCAGATGTAAGTGGAAGCGACGATGAATAAAGGTAATTTCCAAATTTTTGACTTACAATATGTTTCAAACCACTCTTTATTAAGCATGTGACAAATCTAGTTCACCCATGTTAAACATTCATACCCCGCCTATGAACAGCCGACTACTGGTAGTTAAGTGATGTTCAGTTGAACATCGATGAGTCATTACAGTTTTAGATAGTTATAGTATACGTATATAACAGTACTTACACTTTCTACCTGAAGGTAAGGCAAGGAAACGTTGAAACCCTCGTTCATGTCCGCGAACCAGACGAATCTGACATTAGTGACAATAAACGTTCCAAGGCTACCCTGATCGCTGGACAAATTGAACACACCATGCATCGTGGAAAAAACTTGTTCCTGAGGCAGGACCTTCAGTTGTTTATGTTGGACCACTGCACCACGAAGTTTCAATTCTCTGTAGAGTTTCGACGAGTTATATGCTCTGGAAGAAATAAGATACGATAACTTTGTAACGGATGAGGGTCGAAAATATAATCGTTCCTTCATTTAAAACGTTACTGGAAGGACGTCTTAACAGCTTTAACACATTTTTTATACCAAACCAGCCGCGTAGACAAAAGCCTAAGGCACCGGTGCACCGCGGCTTCTATAAGGAGGTTAAAGACTGGTTATACAGGGTGACAGGAAAATAGATGCGTACAAGCCAATCTGAATCGATTTTACTATAGGAACTACTGTCCGAAAGTTCGAATTATACTAATTTTTAAGATTTTATAAAATTAACGTCCTTTATTCGTTAACCAAGCTTGAAAATTGTGTGTTTCATTTGACTTTTTTTTTGTTTTACAATAAAAATATTCTAAAATACGAAAATTGATACTCAAATGTACATTACTGACGTTATCTCATGCAGTAAGCTTCAAAATAGTTCAATTTTTGTTCAAAAAATCTTCGTTCATCTCAAAAACTCAATTTACTAGAAACAATCACTAACAAATTTTTCGTGCAAAATAATTTCAAAATATCTACGTTTCATTACCTTTCAAATGAGGTATCAAAGTCACAAACCGGTTTAGAAATGACAAAGATATGAGTGAAAGAAACAGGTAGAGCCGCGAACATCGGACTTTGCCACCGGAATAGTGTGATAAGTAAGACTAGTCACCCCCCTCCCTCCCCCGCTTCAATCTGCTCTTGCGATTTTTTGCGTTCGGATGTGTTTGTTTGCTCGCTGTTTTGGTATTTCTAACGACTTGGCTCTTGTTGGACTTCCGTGTGTGATTCTTTTCCTGACGACCTAGACTATACCCTGTTTTCTATAATTCCTTACGACTTGGCTGCTGTGTGACATGATTGTTCGTTGATATACCTATCGATGAACAAAGGAGGCGGCCGTTCTGTTTCGAAGAATATGACGATAAGCTTTTCTACTATGGAGATGCCAGAGGCAATGCTGAAGAAGCTCGTCGTGGGGGAAATCTTTCCTAATCGTCGCCTACCTGACGCCCGCGTATTTAGGCAAACGTTCCGTCGTGTTCGAGAGCGCGGTACCTTCGTAAGAGTCCAAGGTAAGTTTGCATCATTGATAATTATTAACTTATCATAATCAGTCATTCAGTAAGGCCTGTGTAGAGCCTTGGAGGCCTGTGGGCTGAACTGATGATACTGTAACATAGTTGTTTTGATACAGTTGATTTAACTTCTTAATTAAGAGTCTATTCATTTAATTTTAACACGAGCATCTACACGACTCTGAAGATGGAAACATCCACACGTTGTGTATCGTTTTTTCTAAATAATATTTTGCCAACTCTAGCTCATAGTCTTACCGCTATGTTTATTAGGTAACAATTTCCTCCAAAAAAACTGTTGTTATTTGTTTTTTCATTTTATTTCAGGTGATGCAAGTAGACCGACATGATATGGAAGAAGAAAAAATATTAATTATTTTCCAAAGAGACGCTACTCTATCTACTCGCCCTGTGGCTCGACGGCTTGGATTATCCTAATGGCAAGTGTGGCATGTTTTGCATGGAAACATATTCCACCCTTATCACTACACACCTGTGCACGTCATAGAGGAAGGAGAACCCATGAGGCGCATGCAATTTTGTCGTTTTATTTTAAACGCTGATGTTGAAGATGGCAATTATTTAAGAAACATTATATGGACCGACTAATCAAAATTTGATAAAGACGGCATAACAAACTACCATAACGGTCACAAAAGCATCTCAAAGGCTATTTTGTCTGAATGTCTGGATGGGCATTATAAATAACTGTTTGGTAGGACCACACACCCTACCCGACAACTTAAATGGAGAAGCCTACGAAAATTTCTTAAGAAATGTTTTATTTGAATTACTTGAAGACGTGCCGCTACACACAAGAGACAGAATGATTTTTCAGCATAACTAAGTGTTAGAAATTGGTTGAATGAGCAATTTCCGAATCGATTGATCGGTAGAGGCGGACCAATACCATGGCCAGCACGCAGTCCCGATCTCACACCTATGGACTTTTTTGTGTGGGGTCGCATGAAAACTTTAGTATACTCTGATCAAAATCCTGTACCCACAATAGAGGATCTCAGAAACAGGATAATACATGCAACAAAAGAAATTCAAGCCTCTCTTAGGAATTCGGCGGTAGTAAAATCAGCTGACATAAGAAGAGCACGTGTGTGCATTAGAAATAGAGGGCGCCATATTGAAAATGTATTATAAAAATAAAAAAATGTAGTTTCAAACAAATTATCCTGTATTAAGGTATGATTTTGCGAGTGTAGTATTTTTATTGCTTTTTCATTCCTCATCTTATAATAGTCATATTTTTTCCAATTCTTAATCCATTTGTGATTTTTATACCTCATTTGAAGGGTAATGAAAAGTAGATGTTTTTTAATTTTTTGTACGAAAAATTTGTATGCGACTTTTTCTAGTAAACTGAAGCTTTTGAGATGAACAAAGATTTTTTTAACAAATATCGAACTATTTTGAAGCTTACTGCATGAGATAACGTCAATAATGTACATTTGAGTATTTTGGAATATTTTTATTGTAAAACCAAAAAAAATCAAATGAAACACCCAGTTTTATGACTTGGTTAATGAATAAAATCTTAAAAATTAGTATAATTCGAATACGGCTAATTTCCGAACAGTAGTTACTATAGTAAAATCGACTCAGATTGGCTTGTACTATCTCCCCCCACCGGCCCCGCATCTATTATCCCGTCACCCTGTATATACATCGATACCGTAGAGACAATGGAGCGGTCGTTCTGAATGTACGAACTTGGACTATTAAAAATTCGCTTACTTGTGGACGCCTATAACAGAAGTGAAATGTCTGGTATTTCCTGGTACTAGGTTTGTGAAGATAAATTCGTATCTGGTTCCTTTAGACGTTGTCAGTAACTGAAGGGCTTGAGCAGTCCCTTTTAGCTTCTGAAAAATAATGTAAGTTTGCGTCTAATCTGACTCAGTCCACCACAGCTTCACTTACCGAGTTAACCATTTTCGTACTGGCAGATATAATGCAACCAAAACCGATTGCTGAAAGTGAGAAAATAAAACCTTTAAGATTTATATCAATATACAGGGTGTCCCACGTAGAATTGCAGTGATCGATTACACAAAAAGTTGACGTGAGACAGTTATGAAAATCTGGATTTACTGATGCCGTCATTACGACTAGTATATTCTCAAAAAGATGGCACTTCGGTTGTATTCGTTAACGTGCTCATTTTTAATTTAAAATTCTCTGTAATGTATTCATTTTTGGATTCTATGCAGGGGAGATAAGTTTTTGTGATTATATTGGCCCCAAAGACGTTTTGAAGCGCGGTGGTAGCAGTTTTTCCCAGGGGGGCAAATCCTAAATATCCTCAAAATTGTACGCAAAAACATACTAAGGGCCGATGGACCAATGGGAAAATACCTTATCGAAATGCAATTTGACAGAAGCTGTCAAAGGTCTCTAAATATTAGTGATTTCCATTGAAATATTGAATAAAATCGTGAAAATTCGACAAGACCACTTTTTGATTCCAACATGATGCTTTTGTACAGAAAAAACAGGACAACTTTCATGTATTTTGATATATGTTATAGGTTTACATTTAACAATCCGTTATCCCCCTCAGCGAATGGGAATGCGGCAAATAATAGGTCGATTTTCTAGCTGTTAAATTTGGCAGTAGATTTGGACGTTTGTTAATGCATGGCACTCTCGAATTTACCACCTTCAATATACTGAAAGTTATCATTACATACCTATTGAATAGTGTGGATTTGTCTGTATTTTGGAAGAAAATAGAATATAAAATACATTCCATCCAATTCCTCATCTTCCTTTACGTCATAATAGTAATCATTTATTAATTTATGCGTTAATGAATTTCTTCAAAGCAATAAAAACGTTATGTCCTCTCCATCCTAAAACACAGATAATATGTGTAAGACGTGTCAATCCCTACGCCTCCCTGATGCATAATGCATGGACATAGACAAAAAATTATGAAAAATGTTTCACAAATAATGGGAAAGATCTCCTATTTATGAAAATATTTTTGATATCATCTAAACGTTGCAATCAGTGCACAAACACTGTGACATATGATTTACAGCATAACCCGCTGCCCTATCAACACAAATTTAACATACAGGTCGCCTAGCCGTGGGGATGCAGTGGTCGGGATGAATATCACGGCAGCAACTGATGATTTGGGCATGTCTGGTAACAACGTATGAAGTGAAACTCACTAACTTCACAAATTTGAAGATTTTGTACAATTTCTTTGAAAATGATGAAAGATATGTATGATTTGGCAGGGTAATGTCGCAGCCAAATGGCAGTCACTCTTTCTGACACAGTCCGGATCAAAAGTTGACGATACTCGTGAAATGTATTGATACTTCTAAATATAGGATCGTATCGAACATCCCTACTGTCAAGGTACCGACGGAGCTATTTTGCGGCGTCATCGAAATAATTTTTAATTTTCATTTGCATTTTTTCAAGTGTTGTGCAATGACTTTGGGAAAAATGTCACGAATAGTCTTATAAAGCATATGCCTCCACTACACGTCTTCAGATGCGTCGGCGGACGTCGGCAGATGCATCGGCAGGTGAATCCCCACGAGCTGACCACACGTCTGCAGGTCGCTCAGTCTGTGTCAAGCCTCGACAGATGCAACGGACGCAATATTTAAAAAATGGATGTTGAGATGGTAACTGCCGCAGCTATTTATTTGTTTAGTACTTTTAATTACTACTTGAGTGCGTATACTTACAACATTTTTGTTTTTGTGGTACTTATTCTTTGGATTCCACAGGCAGTTTTCTGCTTGATATAGCTCAATAAATTTGAAGGTTTCATCAGTGGTCATATTAGCCATGTTAGCGAAAAAGGTTAAGGTAAAAACCTTAAGAAGCGCGAGTACAGTCTCTTTCCCGATTCCGATAGCACTGATGCGTGCTCATTCGTCGTCAGACGTGTGGTCAGACGTCGGACGCTCGCGCCAATCCCTTTGTTGCGTGTCACAAAAACCGACAACAGACGGAAGAGCGCCAGACGCATCTGCCGACGTCCGATACCGCCCACGCCCACAGACGAGCAAATACCCCCCTCTACACGTCGGCGGACGCACCCGCAGATGACGTCTGCCGACGCATCTGCCTACGTGTGGAGGAGCCTATAGTAGAGTATATTTCAACAGTTGGCGGAGCTCGATTAAAAAAAAGCAAGCTGGTATCAGTGGCGCTCCCAGGATTTCAGTCTGGGAGGGCCAAAATGGAACATCGACAAAATTTGATCCTTTGGGTTTCGCACCCGATTGTTCAACACTTGGTTCAGCATACGGTGCAACATCAAGAAATTTTGAAGTGGAAGGCTCAGGTTGAATTGCAGGATTATCATTAGTTTTTTCCGGTAATTCTTGTGCCGGTAGATCGGACAGTTTGTTTTGTTTAGAAAGGAACCAATCGATGGTATTCTGTTTCCTTTTAATCATCCTGACAACAGCAGCTTTCAACCAGCACTAAAAGTTACACAATTATTGTCAAATAAACGGCATTATTGGTTTCCATAGATATAGATGATAATTGAAATTATATTAAATTTCCATTTTTCCGTATGTCATTTTTTTACACGATTCTTTTATAGTATAAAAATTAAAAACAAACAAAAATTAATTTTCTGGCTTATGCGTGGAAAATAAAAAATCAATAGAACATAGAAAATAGCGTTAATACCAAGCAGATCAACAAAACTCCGCTTGTTCACTTCTCAGCCAAATTTTGTTGCGGTCTCCGGACTGGTACAGAATTTAGACACCAGACTAGACCATAAAAGACTAGGCTATACCTGTTCCAACAGGAAGAGGCGCACACCGTTGTTGTTGCTGGCAGTGTTGCCGCTATCTTTTCTTAAAGTTACAGATTTTTTTATTTATGAGACGTTTACTTTTTCAAAGACTGCTCGAGTCGTCTGGCGGGGGGTTATTACCCCCTTTACCCCCCCCCCCCCCGCGTGGAAGCGACAGTGGCTGGTATTTACAACCGGAAGTATGGTGTATCTGAAGTCACTTGAAATAGCATAAAAACCTTTGGTCGGCGCGTCCTTTGTAATTTCATGACGTATCATAGGCGTGCGGTAAAATTTATTTAGAACGATAATTATAATGTTTTTATATCACAATGAATGGATTTTACTATCTTCTTATTTTTTTGATTTGGGATAAAAAATACTTATATTGGGAGTTTAATTTATGTTGACTGAAGGTTAAGAAATGGAAAAATTACAGAATTCCAACGTTTGACATAGGCAAATATTTACATAGCAGGTAGGTACATAAAAAGGTATATAAAGACTTACATTATAGGTATTTATATATCATCCTCGCCTTCGGAGCTGTCGCTAGAGTCATCTTGTAGAGGAATTACAACGGGATTTACAGGAGGCAAAACACAATATTCATTTTCTTTGTCAATAATATGCCTAGAACACTGCTTCCATAGGTCTGTAGCAGCAATATGAGATACTGCATCTCTTATTGTGGCCAATAGCGATTCACTTAATTGAGGGGTCTAATTATGTTTTCTTACTTTTTTTTTAAAGCAGCCCAGACCAACTCAATCGGGTTAAAAATGCAGTAATAGGGAGGTAGACGTAATACTTCATGGCCATTTTGCTGAAGCAGATTGTCAACAACATACTCTTTTTCAAATTTTTGTCTTTTAATAAGATCCAATAATATGGCTTTGGTTGATTTTTGTGGTATTTCCATTCCCTTATCCTTCATAAAATCAATAATGTCTTGTTTTTTTGTGCCTGTATTCGGAATTTTGTTTTTCTGTCGGGAATGGTATGGCGCATTGTCCATAATAATCACTGAATTTGGGGAAATGTTTGGTATTAACTGCTGCTCTATCCACTTTTCAAATAAGTCGGAGGTCATGTCCTCATGATAGTCGGCACATGATTCTTTGATATTTTTGGCAGATAACAGCAAGGCATTAGGTATAAATCCATTTTCACTGCCAGCATGGAGAATAATGATTCGTTTACCACGGTTGCATGGTGCATTTAAAATGCACTTATTGCTGTCGTCAACCCAGCCGTACTGCACAACATCATGGGTATCATACCACGTTTCATCCAGGTAAATCAGATTTCTTTTCTGCTCTCTATAGATTTTAACTTTGTGCAAAAATTCTTGGCGCAATTCAACGATTCGAGACGACTCCATAATCACCATTCTTTTATCTAATTTTTTGTATTGAAAACCACACAGTTTTACAATACAGTGCAGTGAGTCTAAGCATTTGTAATTATAAAAATCTTCAGGATAATCTTTTAATTTATCCCGTATCCTTTCCAACGTGAGCACCAAATTTTCTTTATAAAATCCGTATATTATACGACAAATATCTTCCTGAAAACCCACGTCTATTCTTTTTAATTTTTGCCCTATGCGCTTTCTGTGGAAGGAATGGTTGACTACATCTCCCCTTTTTATAACCCGATAAATGGTAGACCGACTGATTTTTGTCAGGATACAAATTCTGTTTAAAATTTGATTTTGCGAGGAATCTGGATTTTCGTTTTACAGACAATCATACATATTTAGGATTACTCTTTGGGTCTGTTCCTCTAAATCTTTATGAAAGAATTCTGCCTGCACAGGTTCATCAACCATCTCCTCGTGGCTTGGAGCATTTTCCCAAGGTCTCCAAAGAGCCATATTTAGAACATACAAGAACAATCAACACAACAATTAAATCAACAAGTAAACTGAGTATTCAAAAGTCAAAAACACACAAACTAATAAAATCTATGAAAAAACACGGACAGACTAAAGAAAACACGTTTATTCACCGCTACACGGCACTGGCGAAACTGTTTCAATTTTCAGTAGCCACCTGCACTTGTTCAGAGCTCTGAAATACACGCTTTCTCATTGGCTATGTCCACGCATAGGCGTGCTTTACTCCACGTGGACCGGTGAAACTGCCTTTGATCTCTTATACATATTTGCTGCGAAATTTAGCGATTTTTGCAGCAACAGAGCGTGTTAAATATAGATATATAAAACGCACCCGGTATTTCACAGTGTTTCAAGTGACTTCAGATAAAGTATACCATCATTTTCAAAATATATTAAAAAATAAAAATAACTATCTTATGTCACCTTTTCGAATGATCTATGAATGTGACACCTCCTATAGTATCAGTAGGGCCCAAACTAAATGTTCGTATGATTATTGCTTTCTTGTTTCTCTATCGTTCCCAGGATTTATCGTTTTCTGGATTGAGGTAGACATTTCCAAATTTCACTTACACAAATTAATTCTGGGGCTTGTACAAGAATGCCACAATATTCTGATGTTGGTAATAATCAATCTGCCCTTGTCTCCGCTATTCCCTTTCGTATCCTCGATATGTTCAAGTTTGTCGATAACTTTTTCTCCAAGTATCAGACGCATTTCCCTAAAAGTGGTCAATTACTGTTTTTCATAACATCGCTAATTTATTTGTCATTTTTTTCTTTGACATAAAATAAATAATAATATTCATTCTTACGAATATGGTATGTCAAACCGGACTTCTTTATCTTCCCATTTTAAAGACATTTTTTTTAATCCAACACTACTATAACTAAATGTATCGATATAGTAGATGTTTGTAATACAGTACAGATATTCGTCATGACAACGGTCGAGGTACATTCCATGCTTGACGGGAAATCGATCCGTACTCTCTTTATATTTCTAAAGCCACCCAATCAAGATCGCTCAAACATATTTTTAAATTCAACGAAACTACAATCAAAAACGATTCATGAATGTAAAAATCCAAATTTTTCATCGCAACCTAATATTATATCTCTCCAAAAATAGAGTTACTTAACGCCAAACCATTTGAAACGACTATACCCAGATATCACAGAAGGTCCTAATTTCATCCATTTTATGCACTACTAAGTCTGAATGCTTGAGACATTGAAAAAACGTTTTTAAGATAACTTTAGTTTATTATTATTTTACGAACATCTCGACCCGACACAAAACAAATATATTTATGACATTTTCACTATCGGCGATGATCGTTGATCGTTCATAATAGGCACGATCATCGTGCAAGCATCCGCACGAACGTCCGTAGTAGTTTGTCAGACGGCAAACATGGCGGTTTCCTTTGAAGCGTGTCCGAAAAACCGACAATTCACAGGTCTTAGGCCCGTATCGTCAGTCGTCCCTACAATTGGGCGCCTTTATGGCCTCCTTGATTGTCATAGTTTTCTACTTCTCCGTGTCAGCGCTCTATTATGAGGTTATGTCACAAATATCTATTTGCATCAAATTGTGCTTGCTTTTGAGTTATATCATGTTTTATCAGCCTGAAATTTCCTACAATTTAAAAAGAAAACATATCTTCACAATAGGAGAGCGCTGACGCTGACACGGGACCAGTGTAATCTAGAAATTTTTGAAGGAGAGAAAGAAGTATGACAATCAAGGAGGCCATCATAGACGATATCGTTTTTAATCGCCGATTATGAAGAGAAGCCATTAAAGTATGCATGCAACTCAGGTTATGAATAAAACAAGAGTATAAAGGTTTGAAATATATTTATTTGTTATTACAGATCACTTGATTCTCACGTCATTCGAAACAGATGTCTTTATGTGTCTATTGCTAAATAAATAGTGTTTTTTAATAATGAGAAAAGACAGACAGTATATAGGCATAACTATATGCTATCTATTTAGTTGAATCATTTGGACAAGTCATTTTACAATTATCTAAAAACTAGGTGTGATAATATCGGCATATCACGAAATTAGATCACTTAAACTACAAATATAGCTATAGCGAATACACAGATACGGAATTAAAAATGGACGCATCTTGTTTTTGCATTAGCTCTATCACATACTTAAATCGTTCAGGCTATTTACTACTTAGCAAAAATAAGAAAATTGGCACATACTTACATACCTATATGAATAGCATTAGAAAAAATACTAAAGTACTTCGAAATTTGCGAATGATTAGTATTTACTGATAGTTTGTGTACAATATAATGAACATAATTTGGACGGCTTTTTGCAGAAAGGAACCAACCAACCACATATGAAAAATCTATACCATTTACTGTAAAAAAGATCCATACACATATTTAAAGCCTTGTATGCCATTAATTAAAATCGTGTTTGGTCTGAAATGAGTTTGTTATCATTGTCAAAACTTTAAAGCCTAATCGCTCAGTAATTGTTTTTCTGGGTTGGTTCCTTTCTACAAAAGCCGTCCGTTTGAAAGAGGCTAATAATGGCGACAGCAGCGAATGTTTGACAAAAGGCGGAAAAAATCTAAAATACTGCCCTCAAAATATTTTTCTCAACAAAACGCTATGATATACACATACAACATAATCTGCTTATTTTTTAAGTCAATCTAAACAGTACAGTCAAATAATATTCCAACGTAGGGAATTTACTATTTTTTAACAACTATTTGACGCCATTTCTTTTCCACGTATACTGTTGTCAAACGTCATCGTCGAAATTGTCTCCACTTTTATATTTTCTGCTACTCTCACTACAGACTATTACGACGAAATGAGAAAATGTACAGGTAATAAAGAAGTATCAGGATATATCATATCTTCTTATGATTAATATTATGCGCCTAAATACGCGTGAATATTGAGGAAAGAATCTAAGGTAGACACATCTAGAAAACTTCCAGTTTCCTCTAATCAGATATAGTCAGGCAAAAACGTTCGGTATACAGGGTGTCCTATTGCTTAACCTATTGTATCTGAAGAACTATATGGTGATACAGTTGGCTGCAGCGCCATCTATGAGACACTCACCTTTTCAAGATAGCTTATTAATTATTCAGAAGAGGGGAAAGTTAGATGAATCTATGGTACCTCGTGTTATCTCAGATAATTTTTTGAACGCCGAAATGCAGTATGAGGTTGCTATCTTCTTAAATCCTAATCTATAATAATGGCTCAAGGATATTTCCAGCAAGCCCGATTGTTCTTCAAAAACCGACACTTTTTGTGCCAGGAGACTCTTGTGAAATATAATACGCATCTTCCAAAAAATGTTTTGTTTTTCACCCCAGTAAAACGACTCGCATCACCCCGGTACAACGGCCCGCATCACCCTGTACAAGCATATTCGCTTCGCCCTGTATAACCAGCCAGGCGCTCCGGCGAAGAAGTGAATATGTGGCAGGGTTGCCATATTGAGGGAATTCCCTCAAATTTTGAAAAAATTTACACCTCCCCTAGGGAATTCTTGGGGGCTATAATGTCCTGAGGGATTTTTTTGGGGAAAAATAAAATCATTGAGAATTTTTGGCGTTGACGATTGCTGGATACATTTTAGTTTTCTCCAGGTTTCACACGCATGTTTTGGAAAAAGGAGCTAGTTGACTACTCTTCGATGGCCTCAGTAACGAAAGTTGAGTTAGGTCAAATTTCAGTTTGAACCCGACAAACCTCTTTTGATATCAAACTAAATCGTGTTGTCTCCAGCACAGAGCGCTAAAGACTGTCATAATGTTAAAAAATACACGTTTTCGCGGGTAGAAAGCCGTATTCGATCAGCAGAGACGTTTACTTACCTTACCATAAATAGTTGAAACAAGAGGAGCAACACAAAACATGTTTTATTATAAGAACGTGCCCCCCCCCCCTCACTTATGTCTGCCTCAGAACATTGGCATGTACTGTTGTGGGTAGGAGCACTAATGACTTTGATGAGTTAAGTACAGTCCTTTCACTGAAACAAAGCAGTTACGTCATATTTAGTAAATTTGACTGCCAACATTAATGCAAAATAGATCCTAAATTAGTACGTATAGTCTGGATTTCCCGGGTACAATTATGTTGGCAACAGTTTTCTGTGTTGTGACATTGTCGCAAATTTTGTCAGGTAATTACGCCAACAGCTGTTGTTAATTTGTGGTTCATTTCCTAGGATCTAGTAGTTTTAAGTAATGTGGCAACCATGTGCGTCACTGTCATTATTTGACGTTGTGACGTAACTGCTTTGATTCAGTGAGTATACTCTAGTTGTAATTTTGGTTTGTAGATGGAGATAGAACCAAAAATTACAATTATAATTTGTTTTTAATTTGGTGCCAAGAAGAAAAGTGTAAATAATTATTTTTGTTATCAGATCACCTCAGAGGAGGAGAGTACTGTTAAATGCATTGCTAAGAAAATGTTTGAACTAATAAAAAAAATTAATAATTACGACGTTTTTATTTTTATTGTGACCGGGTTTTTTGAAACTTTTGTCCGGCGTCGGTAATTTAGGCGATGGCAGCCGTAGACGAAGGTAAATGCAAATGACGCCATATTCGCTAGCGACTTGAATCTTTGGTTACAACTTCGTCAGTTCAAAATTCTGGCTATTTATTATTTCTCATCTATAGCCAATCGAAATCGCACAGAAATCAAACATTCTTGAATTACTCTATATTCTCATACCTAACACTTGTATATTTGATATCAGTTATTTTGATTACATCCTATATTTAAACAACTGAGAGTAGAAGTTCATAAGTGCCCAAAAATTACGTAGTTTGATTCGTTTTAATTGAAAAGATATACATAATAATCACATTTAAAATGGATACTAACATGATGTCTATTGAAACTGGGTAACACGGTGTGTAGAGTTAGACCTCCAGCTGCTGGCAAATCGACTGGAAAGCTTGCGGGTTCGAATCTAGCACTTAAGCGTTCTAAAAATTGACACCATCGGAATATGTCACTTTGTCACATTTTTCTTATCTATATCAGATTTTCCACTTTGGAGAACAATATTTTTCAAGTAGAAATGGAAATTGTCATTTTTTTATTACCTCTATCAATTTCAAACTCCCACAGTTTATTCCAAATTTTTTATAGATAAACTATTTTTAATACGATCAGACACACTCTTTGCACTTTCCAAAATCCAATAAAATCGGTACGTCTGACTTCACAAAGCATATACCCACTTAAAATCCATACTTTCATAGCTTAATATACTTCATTCTGTAAGATCGCAGTTTCAACTCTAAACGAGGTGTCTGTGGACCAACAACTCTTTTTGCAAGTATAAATAAGTACAGTGCCGAATTCTAGACGAGCAACATGTCTAGAATCTGTGATCAGTTGTAACTTTGATATTATCGTAGGAATCACTTGGAATTCGAATACCATCTCACCCTGGCAGTATTGACATTTCTTCGGTAGTTCTTGTAAGGGGTACAAAAGTAGAGGCGTGGACTCTCTTGAATATCTGAAAAAAATATCATAAATCAAACTCAACCCCTTCCCATGAATACTAGAGATAGGGTGTTTAACTACACTGCGCAGAAAATGAATTTCAGATTCTGCGCATGTGGCGTCTCTATCTGTTGCTGTCATGACCGTAAAAAATATTAATAATCACTGGAGTAATAAACGTACAAAACATGAGTGAAATGCACATACATATTTCGGCAGGTAATGTTGACATTTGTCAATGCGTCATATTCTACGCCTACTAGATTTCCGAGGGCTACACCATCCTTGGAGACAGGATTGACCTCATACGAATACGTGTATCCCTTCGGTGTCATTTGGTAAACGGAGGACGGGCAATCAAAAGCCTAACCAGTATTGCCATTCACACAGATTTATACTCACTATGATGTTTGAGTTAGTAACATACTGTATATCAGCTCTAACCTACCTTAATAATTGACCGCTATTAGCCTGAACTTTAGACAAGAAATGGTGGAACATCTTGTCACCATGAGCTGGATGACTTTTTTCGTACTTCTCGTAAGCCTCGTCACCTCCAGTTTTGTCACCTCCCCCAGAGTCTGGACCACTGGAGTCAGTACTTTCTGCTGTTTTCATTTGATAATCCTCAAAAAAATATTACATTCTTAGAAAGTGCATCAATTCGAGAACATATTCTTTGGACACCAAGTAGAATATTATTATAAAAATATCGTAATATACCTGCAGAAGTTCCTTAACGTGCACGTCACTGACCCCCATAGAACTCTTATCAGTCCCCTCTTCCCAAACAGACAAAAAGTAGGGCTGGAACTGCACGACACCCTGAGTCTGTCCCCTGCATATCTCCGGTGGCAGAGATGCAGCTTCCTGAAGAAGTGCGGCAACGTCGCGCTGAGGGTAAGTGGGCGTGTCGATCGTGATCGCCTCCCCTTCGTTGCCTTCGATCTCGGCAGTTGCTAGGGGGGAGTGGAGTCTGCCGACTGCTCCCACTGCAAGAGAAAATGTAAGTTGTCACCCACGCACACAAATTACAGAATACTTTTAGATACGAAACTCCCATCTAAATCTGTTAAATACTATTTGGCGCTTTTATTGCAGCGTATGCCATCCAAACTAGTTTTTATGGGTCTAAAGCGAAATTCATAAATAACAATAGAAAACTGTTTTATCGACAGAGAGAAACACGCCTTTGTCTGTATTTTTAAATGTATTCTGTTAAATGTCATACCAGACGTAATTTTTACACAAAAATGTCATGTATATTTGCTCCCATGTCAGTTTTTTGTGATCCGCAGGGGTAATGATTTGCAGCCATTTTTGAAAAACCTCCGGATCGCTCTTGGGGAAACGATGTCTTTTACTCTGTCTGTTGACACAGTTCGGAACACAGCACTTCTTTGGTTTTTGGGCTGGCACGTAATCCTCCATTATATAATAATAATAATAATATTTATTCACTCAATGTACAAAGATAACAAACAATATGAGTAAATAAATATAAAATCAAAACAGGCCCAATAGAAGGCATCGCCTGTACATGGACCAATAATTTAAGTTGAAACTGTAGAATGCAAATGACAAAAAAGGACAAAAATTAGCTACAGTAGATTATGTATTCAGTTGATGTTCGTATTTATGAGTTTATGAATTTCAGTCCTAGATATAGAATGTAGCCATTTTTTTAAATTTCTTTTGAAACAATTTCCGAAACGTAAATCTTTTAAGTCTTTAGGTATAATTTCATAAAATTTAGGCGCTAAATAGAGATATGATCGCTGCATTATAGATTTATGCGGTTAAGGAACTACTTTGCCATCAATTTTGTACCTTGTATAATGATTATGTTTAATTTTTTGGTCGGTGTTTACAAATTTATGGTAGTAAGTGATACTGTGTAAGAAATAAAGCTGTCTTATATCATACATTCGAACATCTGCGTATAATTTTTCAGTGGGATAAAGTTTCGGTTTTTTAAATATCATTTTTAGAATACTTTTTTGGGGAAAATTATACGATACAAAACTAATCCAAATCCAATGTACAACATCAATAACTCGCTAAAAATTCTAGCGCAAAGAATTGCAAACTGACGCTCGATGAATGATGCACATTGCACAATGATGGTGGATGGCGCCTTCCGCCTTGAAAAAGTTTATCTATCACATTCCCGAAGATACAGGGCCCTCTGTAGGTGGCGATTTGAAATAAAAGTGACTTGAGCGCCAGAGTGTGTGCGATCCACACTAAGGGGAGCAAAACATTTCTTGGCGGGAACAGCTTAGTCACGTATCTAAATTTATTTCGGTAATTTGTGCCCACGCAATTTTCCATGATAATAAAACAAAGAATAAACTTTTTTGTAAGACTACAAAAACATGATAATTCTAGAAAATCGTCAAACCATTGCGATCTAGTGAATAAATTGTGAGGTCTTTGGTAGACGAGAATTTTAAATCTCGCTCTTTCTTCTAAATTTAGGCAACCAGACGTACACGAAATAAAATTTCAAATGATATTCACACGGACTTATTATATAATATCTATGGAAAAAAGGGAACAAATATAAAACGATAAGTAATGACTTGCAAGCGTTATGTAAACACGATGCATCATGCGCGTACCTTTTGACAAAATTCGATCAAATCTTGACCATGCACAACATAACCTAAAAATCCAAATCATTTTTTTTCTAAAATAAGCAAATGAATTCATTTGTGCATTGATTATTGAAATATGTTAGCACATTACAAACTGTATGGAGGAGCAAAAAATGGGAGAAGTAACCACCGAAAATCCAATTTCGGACCGATCACCCGTGAGTCTATTGAGCCAAGTAAAATACGAACATCTCGTCGCCGGTATATCAGGGGGCGTCACAGCGACCCTTATTTTACACCCCCTGGACATTATTAAAACTCGATTTGCAGTAAATGATGGCAGAGGACACAACATTCCCAAATACAATGGTATTACCAATGCCTTTGTTACAATCTATAGACAAGAAGGTTTTACAGGCCTATATAGGGGTGTCACCCCTAATATGTTAGGCGCCGGAGCTTCTTGGGGCCTGTACTTTTTATTCTACAATGCACTGAAAATGAGACTACAAGATGGGAATATTGACAAGCCCTTGAGCGCAACACAGCATATGATATGCGCTTCTGAGGGTGGTTTTCTAACATTGCTCTTGACAAATCCATTATGGGTCATGAAGACGAGAATGTGTCTGCAGTATGAAGGTGCAAAACAGAAGTATGAAGGTTTGGTAGATTGCTGTATGAAAATTTATAGAGATCATGGTGCTAGAGGTTTCTATAAGGGGTTACTACCTGGTATATTAGGGGTAAGTTCTGGATTATTTATATATTTGGCTACAGAATCGTCTATGAAACATTAACCTTTTCAAAGTAGATTAGCAATTAGTGCTGATAGGAGAAAGATTGTGACAAATTATTCAACATGGGAATATAATATTAGGTTGTCTATTTTCAGGTAGTAGATAATAATTAATGCCTTAACATAGCAGTAACTTTGTTTCAAAATGTTATTATATTATATATTTTCTTATTCTAGGTATCGCATGGTGCAGTACATTTCATGGTGTACGAAGAGCTAAAAAGGAACTACTCCGTATACAAAAACCAGCCAATAAGTACAAAATTAGGCACTATAGAATACTTGGCTTTTGCTGCTACCTCAAAATTAGTGGCAGCAACGGTGACTTTCCCATACCAAGTAATACGGACAAGGCTACAAAACCAAAACTATTCTTATAATGGAGTACTTGATTGTGTAAATCAAACGTGGCGATATGAGGGATGGAGAGGATTTTATAAAGGCTTGGGGCCAAATTTAGTGAGGGTTATACCAGCCACTATGATCACATTTGTTACCTATGAAAATATATCACATTTGTTGTTAAATTATAAGTTGAATGCTAGTGCTAATGCTTAAAATTGTTGTATAAGTTGTTTAATGAATAAATATGTGCAACACGTCTTTTTTTATCATCCAAAATGAATGACAAAAATTCTTCAAGTCTTCCTAAATAAATGAAAATCATATTCTAAAATGAACCCTGGATTTGAGGCGTTTTTCAAATTGTAAGAACGCGGAAGTGCTCAGTCGCTAGTCCGACTGAAATTACTAAAGGTATATAAATAGGGCACGTGAACTTCGACATTCGTTTTGCCCATCAGCCTGGTTTCCTCGATGGGCAAAGTAGTCGAAAAGGCTATCGCCGTTCGACTAGAGAAGCAGGCAGAAGAACTGCAACTTCTCCCCCCAGAGCAATTCGGCTTCAGATCCTCCCACAACACGGAACTCCAAGCGCTACGACTGACAGAAAACATCACCAGCGGCTTCAATCTCCAGGAGGCAACCGGCCTCGTCCTGCAGGACGTGGAACGAGCCTTCGATCGAGTTTGGCACGATGGACTCATCGCCAAAATGGAAGCCGCCGGAATCGATGCGAACATGTGCCAACTGATCCAGAGCTATCTAACACAAAGATGGTTCACGGTGAAGATTGGTACATGCCACTCAACAAGACGACAGCTGGAAGCAGGCGTGCCCCAGGGGTCAGCCTTAGCCCCCCTGCTCTACAACATCTATACTCACGACGTACCGAAGACTGCTGGCCCTATATGCAGACGACACTGCCATAGCCGCCAAGCATCGACGACCCGAGATCATCCGTAGGAGCCTACAGGATGAACTGGACCACATCCAGGACTGGTGCGTGAAATGGAAAATCCGCATCAACGTCCAGAAGACGCAGGCAATCTTCACTCAACGAAGAAGGATTGCAAGACCTCTCAAAGCATCCATCTTCGACGAAGATATCCAGTGGAGCGACAAAGTCAAATATCTGGGAATCGTATTTGACAAGCCCCTCACCTGGAAAGCTCACATAGAAGCTGTCATCGCAAAGACCAGAGCAGCCATGGCTCAACTCTACCCATTACTGGGTAGACACAGCCGGATGCCGCTAGCGACCAAGCTACGGCTGATCAAGGCCATCGCCAGACCTCAGCTCGCTTACGCCTCCGCGGTCTTGGGGTACGCTGCCCCCAGCTACCGCAAGCGACTTGCTGCTCTAGAGATGAAGCTACTCCGTCCTACGTAAGAAACTCAACCTTGCGTAGAGACCTGCATTGGGACACCATTCACGAGTACATGAGGAAAAAAGCGGTGAAGACCTTCCAGAAAGCTCAGGACCACCCGAACGAGCAGCTACGATTCCTCATGGACTACGATCCGGACGAGAGGCCTCGCAACCGCAGAACCAGGTACCCCAGACCAAGGTCCCAGTTGGCACCCGCTAACTGGAACCTTGACTAGACCCGCGGTTGCTTTCGTTTTCTTAGCGTGAGTGTTCTGTTTGGGTATTAATTTATCGTTAAATTAAAATGTTGATAAAAAATGTCTATTGTAATCTCCTTCATCACACTAATGCAAAACGAATGACATATGCTACTTCTAGGCGGGTTTAAGCTAGTTATAAATAAAACATATTGATCTTTTTTTAATATTGTAAAATTATAAATCAGCGCTTTAATTTTCCTGGCAAGAGCATTTTTGAAGGGGGGTCCCTTACCTTGCGCCCCCTTATTGGCATTTTTATCATCGACAGTGAGGTTCCCAAAACTGGACTGAATGGAATCCTCCAAAGAGCAGCTTTCCTCTTCCTCATCAGAAACTTTTCCTGGTAGATTGATGCTGATCAAATTGCCATTTTCCTCATTTCCGTTTGCGTTATCTTCACCCCAGTCGTCTGCTTCAGAGCACCAATCGGTGGCACTCGTTTTGCCTGGAGCCGCAGGTGTTTGGACGCTCTCTGTTGTGTCTATCAATTCTTCTTGGGTTTGGACTCTGATGCATAGCCAACTGTATAGAATAAGAATATTAGTAGATATTTGAAAATCCTGGCGTATATTTACCTTTCGCTTAAGCTCCAGCAGTTTGGATTGACACAAGCAAACAGATATAAGGTTCTGTGGACCACTGGATTCAATGGGGCGTAGATTTGTAGAACCAGTGGCCTGGTCAAGTGACATAGAGGACATTTTGGTGGATTTAAGTGGATGTTACGTGGATGGTCCTGGAATCAAAAATAGGTGTATCTACTCTCCAGAATCAATTTTTATAAATGTAATTCCCATGAAGGCTTAAACATAATTTATATTACTATTACACCTGTCAAAAAACATTTCACGCCACTGGATTGTCAGAAATTTAAATGAAAAAATAAAGGTACAAGTCATTATCTATTCGTTGTTATATTCGGTTTTGGTCCATGTGCATTCTAGACATTCTATATATTCTCGGAAAATGCATTCCCTACAGTCGTTTGCGCTTATATTACATAATTTGAACAATTCTAATCACAGGGGGTGTAACTCAGTGGTAGAGTGTCTGCTTCGCATGCTGAAAGTCCTGGGTTCAAATCCCAGCACCTCCACGCTTCTTTTTTGTTTTTTATTATTGCTTATTCACTAGTGGCTACAAAAAACATGCAAAGCTTTTATAGTTTAATATTCTTTACTTACTGGTGTTCCTCCAATTTTATTTACAGTGAAATTCAATAAGTCTTTGTGTTTTTCTGTAACGGGTTCGTCTTCGAAAGCCAACAAGACTTCGGACTTGTTCGCCATTGTTAAAAAACAGCACGTGTTTAGGAAAATGTTTTAGAGAAAAATGAACATTTAACTTAGCAAATCTTGTAGTTTATGCTGTAAATTAGTGAACCAAATATACTTAAGTGGAAAAGCTCGTGTATAATAACATAACCAAAAAAATACAGGCACGGACGAACAAGGAGCATGCGCCCAAGTTTAAATTATCGATTTTCAGGATTTTTCCTTATATTTATTTGAATTGTCCATTAAATAGATTTGTAATTTGGCTTAGTATGTTTTACAAATAATACTCTAATACAAAATTGGAGACTACGACTAGGACCTTAATTTAGGATGCGATTAGGAAAGACAATGGATAGTCTAGGATCATGTTTCTTTATCCCGTTATGATAATTTTTCATTGTAATGTATCAGACCATAAAATGATGAAAGGATCTTGTCTCCTGCCCTCAAAAAACCAAAATCAAGCAAAAAACACACCAAAGCACGATCAAGGTAGTCATTGGTCATTCCAACAATTTTCCCATGTTTGTTCACACAACAAATTTAGAAACGATCAATGAGTACGGGGTGCGTTCAGCATGCAGTTTATTTACCAGCAAAAATGTCAAACATTTCAGGGGTTGCTTGAGGCATCTTTGTTGTGATGGCGTTAACCTAGCCAATTGTCAGTGATGGAAGAATTGTATAATATCGCACTTGGAAAAAAAAATACTTTCCGATCTGTTAAATGGTTCTTCGTGCCTTTCTACTTCATTACTGTTTTCAACAAGACCGGTTTGATTTGAATATATTAAGAACAATGGTATCTTTTCCATCAACACAAAAGAGTAGCAACGGCGCTATCTATTACCAGAAACGACTACTGACTACTAAGAGTGAACAGGGGATACTTTGCTCTGCTTCCGATCGTTGTCCTTGCCAGAGATCTGCTGAGATTGTGCTGATGCTTACCAGTAGGCATGAAACAGCTGATGTACACAGGATAGGCGCCCTGTTTGGTCAGTCGGCCAAAAGCAGTATTATTAGTTTTCAATGGTAAGTAGACCACATCTACTGTACCGCCAGAATTTATGGCATAATGACTGGTATTCACTCTCGCACTGGTCGATTGTGGTAACAGATGGCACTTCCGCTATCGTATTTGGAGAGACTTCTTATATCCTCGCTAGAGGATGCTTTGCTTCCATTCCTTATCCTTGTCAGAAACTTGTCTAGACCGGGCTGATGATTGCCAATGATGATGTCATTGCCTGTCAAGGAAGACCGTAGGACCTTCAAACGAATGTTATTAACAAATGAGTAGTCCTAAGCCTCAAGGCATGCGACGGTACTACTCACATATACTCGTACATTCGGCCTTAATCATCAGAGTAAGATATGTGCTGTCTTTTTGCCTAAAAACAATTGCAATCGTAATATGATTCTTTATTTAATGAACAAGATCAGCTAACAAATGTAACCGAAAACTGCTTTTATCTGTAAGTCCAGGTGTGCTATTTTGGTACACGCTAAAATAAAAAGATAGCTTCCGTAGTCGGCTGTTGAGATGAACGCAACCTTTTTGTCTAATCGTTTGAGAATAAGCTAAAGGAATAAACCCTTTGACAGTGACATCTGTCAATGTCATGATTACGTAAAAGTATAGAGTTATAGGTTATGTTATGATTTTCTTCCGTATTCCGTATTGTTTTATCATGTACCAGAGGTACCTGCAGAAGTCGCCTGAACGCAATCGGACATCGCCAGAGGAGCGCCTAATGATGACGTTGCAGTAAGTATCCAAATCAGTTCATTTTTGCATAAATGACAAAATATATTGAGGTTATGGTCGTTTTCTTAATTTCAAGGTCACTTCTTAAATTAAAGTTCAATATATTGAACTTTTCCTTAAGAACCAACCAATCGGATCACTAGCGTTGGTCAGCTGATCGCTACAGCTGGAATTAGAAGATGGCTACGAGCCATCGATACTGTACAAAAGTCGATAGTCGATATTTATATCGTGATGTTTGATCGATTTTGTATCACTGTATGGGCAGATGGTTCAGTGATACTTGTATGAAAAATTATTTGCGCTTGCTTACGCATGACAGTTTAGAGCTGAACATCGGGGCGGATTGATAAACAAAATCATGTATGTTAAAAATTATAATAATTAAAGTCAGTGGTCATGTTTCCTTCATAAATTAGATCAAAAAACAGCATGAAAAGAATACCAAGAGAGAGGATTTTGAAATTATATTCTAGAGAACGAAAAAAAAAATGGAAATGATCTTAAAATTTTGTGCTTGTAGTACTGACTTCATAGCTGATAGATGCAAACACTTTCATATCTGAGACTGTACCAGTGGTGATGTTGGCAAATTATAGCCCCTACAGAAGAAAAAAGAGAATTTAAATCTATACCATGCCCCCCATGACATGTTTTTCCAAAACCTCACAGAACACTGTGAAGGTACTTTGTCATTAACTACAAACCAGGTGTACACCTGACGAATGCTGTGTATTCGCAGCCCACCAAATATGTAATCTCTTTTGATGTTTATTGAGGTAAACAGATTGAGTAGCACGTAACTTTTTTTGTGACATCTGTACTGTTGGTAATAACAAACCTGGTAAAGGGCCAAATTAAGGACTGGCATTTGGTATCACCAATGAAAATTTTTTTTTTTAAACACAGAATTTTGGCAATCAAATGTATACTGCTAGATTGGGAATTTATACATATGTACAGAGCAGTATCATCTGAAGGGGCGTGGTGAGATGACTATGTTTCTGTTTAGTGTTTGCTGACCAAATATGACAGTGATATTATGCTAATAATTTTTTTTTTGTTTCACAGTGTCAAAATCCTTCCAGGAGACAGTTGGAATGAAGATCGTCATTTATTTTATGGATACCAAATTAATTGTCAATGAGAGTTTGTTTCCTAGTTTGAAGAAACAATTACTGTTTTATGTGTTTTTTTTTTGTTGAGGACAATTTTGTTTGCCTTTACCCATTAAACAGTGTGCGCAAAACTATTTTTGATTCACATATCAGAGTGATTATATTTGTATTCCAGTCAGTCCTCTACCTACAGATGTATTTTTTGTTATTTTAGTATTTATGTTTTCGCAATAAATATACCTGATCAATTAACAAGAGATAGTGCTTGCATGATATTGCACTGATCAGGTTCATAATATAGAGAAAAATCCAGATGAGTAGAATACCTCTATGTATGTACAATTTATTGTAATGAAGAATTTGTTCTATTATTGCTGTGACTGTTCAGTAAATATTTTTTTAATTATACATTTTTTTATTATCCTGAAATTCATTACTAGTCAAACTGATGAAAGAAATACTCCCTTTACTGAGGATGTGTTATGCATCTATGATCATCGAACTGCCTCAATATCGGTCGTCAGTCAGATTTCGTAATGTAAAGAAATGAAATCGCCGACACATTCCTGACATTCCTGATATGCGTTGTCGGCATACTTTCAATATTTATAGTTCCACCAGATTTCCAACCAAGAAAAGTGGCGCTGCCGTCGAGGTTATAGTCCAAGAAATATCTTCACATCTGCTCAGGAAAATATTCGGATTCGGACTTTTTGCATGTTATTCGAAAAAGCCTCCTAGTAACAAATCTACATGTTGTCAGGCTCCAAATTGCGTCTCTAATTGTTTGAACAACTTTTTCAAATAAATTACAAAAATTAATGTTTTCGCTTCATCAAAGGTAGCATTCGTTTTTTTGATACTCCGAAACAAAATGATATTTGACAATGTTTGTCAAAAGTTGATTTTGTACGAGATGGGAAAGTACAAAAAATTGATTTTGCGATACCGAAAAACGATCTGAAAAAACGAAAATGTTAATGTCGCCATGCTTCATAAATAACCATTAACGATACCTTTTTAGAAGATACTGTTATTATAAATCTTTGTATTTAATTTATATGCAAGCGGACGCTCAATGCATATTCAGCGTGCACGAGAGATATTTCATCTCTCTCGCGTTCACATAGACATAGACTATACATTGAGCGCGCATTCAAATGCTCTGGGGGTTTTGTTATTGGTTAGTTGAAGCATGTGTGAGATTTGGCAACATCAAAATATGCATTTTTCATATTGTTTTTAGGGTAGCAAATGACATATTTTGAGTTTTTACATTGCTTATACCTGTATATATCAAGTCTAGAGAAAAGTTCTAAAGCTCATTCTTTATTTAGAATGTCCTAAAAACCGCAAAATACTTTAAACAAAGCGAACAAATCAATTTTTGGAATCGGTTTTAATAACAATTTTTGGAGCAATTTTGGGCCTAGTCACATGCAGATTCTTTAAGAGGTCCTTGAATCAGATTATGCAAAAATAGGAATCGGAAGAGTTTTCCGAGCAGATGTTCCAATATTATCTGGACTATTATCCGAGTTCTGTGACGTGCATTGGCGCAAGCGTGTGGGGAGGGGCCACTTGTCAACGTCAAGGCTGGTCCGCCAGTCCACGTGACACATAAGCCACAAAACACTCTTTCATCTGTTACTTTGACGTTAAGCATATGATTATTTAAGGGTATTTAACTTTCATGTTGCCTCAACTGCTACGTTGGCAATCCTGGCCGCGCATGCGCATGAAATGCTCATTTTCTTAAGTTAAGTTAGCTTAAATCGTGCATGAACCCAGAACCCACCATTTCGTGCATGAGAGTGAACCCACCATTTTATAAATTCTTAAATATTCGATAAATTAAGTATTTTCAACCAATTCTGCAACGAGAATAAAACCGTATTTTCACACAATATGAGTGACAAAACAGATCAACACAAGAACCTGGAAAAATGGTTTCGTGGACTGGGGTACTCGGGACCGATGCCTGAAAGTCTTACTACGTGAGTGAACTTTTTGTGGCACATACAGAAAAACCTCATTAATAATTTTATATTTCATACTGGTTGTTTTGAGTTTATTTGGATAACTGGCCCTTTGGTATGTAAAGGTAGTATAAGTGAAAATTTGGAAGTTTCGCCTTCGACCTATTTTTGGAATTCACGTTTCGAACGTCGTGCGACGCGGTTCATTTCGAGGTTGAAGAATTCAAAGTATAAAAGCAGTTGCAGTGACTGTCTTTGATAACAGAAGTTTCACAGGTTTGGTGTGGTTGAATACTAACATTTACCTCTGTGCAATTCTATCTAACCTTTCCCAGTAATACTAGGTGAGCTATTTTTTTCCTACATAGACATTTAAAAAAAAGAGAAGAGAGCAACATGAATATTGATATGGGGGGGAGTCATCCCCCTGTGATCTCTGATTACACTCTTCTTACAAATAATACTAATCAATTATCACCATATAAATTAGAAAACATAATATTAATGTACAAAAACCTAATGGTAAGATTGACAAAAGCAACTGTGCAATAAAAACAGGATGCAGGCCCATACATCTGTACTTTTAAATATATCAACTATATAATTTCCCATGCAAGTTTAAACTCAATTAGAATATATGTTCAAAAGACCACCTAGGACACACTAAATGGGTTGGCTTAATTTCTACAAGATTTATACCTCAGATATTTGTAACAGAATGTTTTGCAGACAAGTGAAATTGTGAAAAATTAAAAAAAAATATTCTTTGGTTGATAACCAAAGATCCCATGGAATTCTGCCATACAGGTTTTTTACTATTCACACAATCTAAAATGACCAATTAATTGATGCCTGTATAACTCTGCAACATAATTAATTTTTCACTTGTGTCTCTGGTTTATTGATTGCCTAAACATAATCATATATTCTCACAGTGTCTTCAAATTTATTTATTCTAACACTTTTATTGCCTGATAAATTTGGATTTTATTATTGCTCGAGCGTTTATGATTATTAATCACAGAATTTGTATATGGTCTTTCACTCTCAGAATATGCAGTAGTTCTACCTCCTTCATCTGGGACCAACTGCAGGCGAATACAAAGACAACTAAAGATGTGGAAAGAATCAGGAGGAATATAATCATAAGTCGCTTAACTTCTAAACCATTGAATAAGCAGGTTAGTACATTATTTATTTTGCATTATACATACATGTATATGTTTTTTCATCGATTTTGGCAAATCGCAGTACCTATATAACTTTCATATATCCATGCAATTTACATTTGATTGTGGATGTTTATTTAAGATCAAAAACATACGTTCAATTAGAATAGTCTCACCATCTTGAAATTTTTCTTGTAATATATGGTTTTTTTATAACTGTACTTGCCACTGTCATTGTAACAACTTACCTGTCGTGGATGTGCATTTTAGGTTCAACTATTGTTAATTTTGTTGTTAATATAGCAATGCCTGAGAATAGAACTCTTAGACAATGTGAACAGTGTGTGCTAAAATTATTGAAGTATTTCCAGAACGTGAATGAAAACAATGGCCCGTTATTAATCCTTGGAATGACCTTTAGATTTAATAACAAATGTATGTGTGTGTATAACAGAATAATCGTCAAATTATTATTCAAACAGTAGATGTATCGTGCTTCTTGTAGAGAAAGATGTTGGGATTGCCAGACATAACTTATTTTCAGAAGAACAACAAATGGGGCACTGAATAACGTCTATATCTCTACTCACATTTTGTCTTTCAGCAAATAAGTAGTGTCTGACAGCCCTAGGATCCCGCCCTATGAAGAGGAGAACAAGGCGGTGTCTTTGATGGAATACAGGGTGTCCCGCGAGGAAAGGGACACTTTTTCTATGTGTTCCTCAGGTCAATTCGAGTGGAAAAAGTCCGATGAACATGGGTCCGCAAATGCTTCCTTATCGATTTTTTTTATTTTTAGGTTGCTAATGGTGAGAAAACCACAATATTGTTGGAAAATTACTTTTATTTAACACAAAATTACTAGGTACAATAAAACTAACTATTCACAATAGTTGTTCAAAGTGTCCACCTTCACACTGTAAACATAGTCTAGCCGGTTTAATAATGTGACTGGTGGCTTTCCCAATAACAAGACATTGACTTCTTATGTCGTCAGTGACATACACTAAAGACTTCATATGTCCCCACAAGTAATAATCCAAGGGATTTAAATCGGGCGAGCGGGGTGACCAAGAAACTGCGCCCCCTCGTCCAATACGAACAGTATTAAATTTATTGTTAAATAAAAGCAATTTTCCAACAATATTGTGGTTTTCGCCCACTCAAAATAAAAAAATCATATATCTCGATAAGGAAGCATTTGCGGACCCATGTTCGTACGACTTTTTCGACTCGAATTGACCTGAGGAACACGCAGAAAAATGTTTGTCCCTTACCTCGCGGGTACACCCTGTATATGACGCGAAATGTCTGCGTTAGCGTCGCGCCGTTAGCATGGTTGCTACGAACACCTAGCGACGTTTGGATATCGGATATGACACGTTCTAGGTAGACTTCGTAGCTGTCATGTTGTAACTAAACAAAGTTACATATGTGGATCTCAGTTAAATGAATTGTAGAACTCGCACATAGTATAATATCGTATACGAATAAGGAAGTTTTTAAGTTCCCGACAAAAGATACATCAGGGTCGCATATGTAAATTTTCACACCATTATAAATGATTGAGTCTTTCACAACTGTTGACTTAGCTTATATTTGATGTCTCAAATTTACATTTATTTTGAAAATAAGAGTTGCTGTTTCTAAAATAAACTATGATACGGCAGTCGTTATTTTAAGATTTAAAAATGAAGGCCTGCGTGTAACTCTAATATTTCATTTTTGTAGAATAAGCACTTTTCTAAACAATCTTGGGTACAGACGCATCCAAAAGAAATGCTATCTTTCATTCTATTTTCAAATAAGACAAAGTAACTGCTTAAGGCTGTGCTGTTCCTCAAGTTGTAACTAATTGTTCTTATAATAGTTGAGTAAACAGTTGGTCTATATGATTAGTAAAATTTAATTTATGAATAATGATCAATCCTAAAAATTTGATGGTGTCTGTTTTGGGTATCTAATCATGATTTAAATTTACAAACATAAAAATTAATTGTTATTACACTGTTTTTCAATTGATCGTATATCATTGTCAATTTTTTACATGATTTCCTGTGTATTGTGGTATCATCAGCAAAAACTATGAATTTACTATTTGTGTTTAAATTTATTCAATCGTTAATATAAACTAAAAATAGGATTGGACTCCGTACTGATCCTTACCGTACCCATCCTTTTGTGTTTAATTTATTTGAAATGTTTTTATAATGAGGCTAACTCAACGCTTCTAACGCAAATGATCTACATTTCCTTGCGACTTTCTAGGATGATTATGAACACCCAATGAACGAGATCACATTGTACAGAAAGAAGTTGGCATTGGAGAATAAAATCAAACTTAAGAAATGTAATATTCAAGAAAAAGGAAAAAAGGTGGACGAGGTAGCAAAAGTCAACAAAGTTCAACGTAAGTGACGAATAGATAATCTGTCATTTTCACTTTGTATAAAAAATCTTTGTAGTCTTTGAAACTCGGTCCAGTGGCGGCAGAGCTAGTGGCAAAAATATGAAAAAAAATGCCGTCGAGTAGGTTGTGTATCGGGGAGAGGCGACGTTTCCAGATGCACTATCGGTAGCGCAGGGAAAGAATGGACTAATTGTATGGACCTGTTTGACCGGCTTTTTTTCTCAGAGGGTGAGGGTCTAGTTTGTGCTGAACACAACATTTTATGAACTGATGAGGGCATTGCATGGGAAGTGCATAGTCAACCTACTTGACGCCATTTTTTATATTATCTCAACTGATTGTTGTTTGATATTTCTTCCACAGAAATAATTATAAATGGGTTAGATTCAAAAATACGGAAAAATGAGGAGAAGGAACTTCTTTTGAGGAAGAAATGTATAATGTTAGAGGAAAATATTGCTCAAGCACAAGAGACATTATCAACAGTAAAGGGATTGACACCAGTCGAACCAGATGAAAATCCTGACACTAGTTCTATAAAGGTAACACAAGAATATTGGTATCGCAGAAAATGGATGGAATTCTCACCAAATCGATAATAGAATGGCATAGTGTGAGAGTTATTTTTCCGAAGATTCCTTTATAATTGATAAGGATATGATATCCACATATAGAGAGTTTTTGTGTGGGGCTAAAAATTTTAATCATAAATACTATAGCCAGTAGTATGCTTCTTACTTGGAAAATATTAATATCTCTACAGGGCGATTGATAACTACGTGGTGATTCAAACATTTTTGAAATGGAAAGTCTTACATTTTATTTCAGATTTGGATAGTTTTTTTAATAAAAATTTTATTTGGCATGCTATATGGTTTTATTTTTAAATTGTTGAGATATCGGACAATCTATCCATTCCATTTGAAAATTTTTACTAGTTCACTTAGCATACTTGACCAACCTATACAAAAAACTGTAAAAGTAAGTAGATAGAGAGAAAATATGGGATCTTATATTTTTTCTGACGAAAAATTCAATACTCTAAGGATTGCAGGGGTGGGAGTTGGCAAAGTTAAGTGTTTTTTGTTTCAATAGATCATCCAATATCTCAACAATAGTACCCAATAGCATGTTATATCCAATTGCTTCATTTAAAAGAGCCCTATCATAGTCTGAAAAAAGGAAGACGATCCCATTTAAAAAATGTGTGTTTGGATCATCCCAGAGCAACGCTTCACCCTGTAGAGACAAACATATTTTCCAAGTAGCACAAGGTTGGCTACAATTTTTGTGTTTTTTGGATACCATGCGTAAATCGAAATAGTGGTCAGTGTCCTCAACTACATCAACTAATCTGAGGTCAACCTTTGCTAATCAGTAGATTTGGTAGAGATGGTGCCATCCTGTAGGCATTAGAATTTACCGTCAATGTTGTCTTTGATATTTTTAAACCTGATTGCAGGAAACACTTCAAGCATGTAGCAAAAAGCTAGAATCCAGCTTAAAACAAATACCAGCTCCTACTAATAACATCAAAAACACAACAAATATGCTACTGATGAGATCAGGAAAGAAGCCGCAAACGCCTAAGATGAATTTAGAAACATGTTTCGCTTTGAGCGAGAGACAATCTGTATGGAGGTCAGCGCGTAAGCTGTCCAGTCATGGCAAGGAAGATAACCGTAACATCATTAATTTACCGAAACAACTTTTCCCTGTTGTGGAAAATAAAAATGGTGCGTTTTACAGTATTTTTTTATGAGAAATATTTGCCACTATAGCAAATTCGAACGTATATTTAAGTGCCTCCGTATGTTCATGACGATACCATCTTGCTGTCTAGACCCGACCAAAACACGGGTGTTGATAGTCTGGAACAAGCTAAGAGGTGGTTTTTAGCCAACAAGTAATCGATAAATGAAAACAAGATTAGATTACAGAAGAAAATGGTTGGCTTGCCAGCCTTAATGTCACTGCGACCCAAGTAGATCTATTGTGACCCCCCTATATAATTTCTAAAGCACTGTGTCCAGGCTTGATCCTTTGATCAGACTCCATAGCCTTGACACAGGGCCTTTCATGTAGCTTTTGGCTGTTGGACCCGTGGTTCCTACAATCTGAAAACGTAGCCTTGCCAGGCCTTCACAGTGATACAGGAGATGCACTGGGATTTTCTCATGATCTCTGCCGAAACGGCATGTGGCCTCTTCTGCAAGTCTCATATACCGATTTAGACGACAGTGTCCTGTCAGAAGACCCACTATGGCCCTTATGCCTTCCCATCGAGTCCGAGTAGGTCCTCTGTAAAAGCGGGCCTTCGTCTTTGCCCCAATTGGCAGTGAAAACAAGATATAACATATTAATTTTCCTCTGACCAATGGATTGTCAGATCTGAACAAGTAAAACTTGTAGGAATAGTACTCGATACCAGACTAAACTTGACATTCCTCATTGTTTATTTACATTCTAGACTACCTACACTATTATTTGTTCTTAGGCAGATACGCAGATTCCTCGATAAGCATACTTTGCGGGTGGTGTACTTTAGTATATTCGATAGTCACATTACATATGGCACAATGCTCTGGGGCAACTCGTATACGCGAGGAAGTGGGGAGAGGTCTTGATCGACGCGTTCGGCGTGCGGGTTAAATAGTCACAATGGAACGTTGGACTGGAGCACTCCGCTGCTTTGGGAGCTCAACACTGCATGGGATAATGAAGAAAAAAAAATGGGGTTTCATCCATATAAAATCCAATCAGTCCTTGCTTTAAAGCAGGCCTCGAGCATTTGGTGCTGGTGCGCTCCGGTGCTGAACCCAGCGGCACCGGTGCCGTTCCCCCTCCACCTCGACCGCACAGCCGTCGCGACAGAGAGAAACATATTAGCCGACTGTCTCTCGGGCGCGGGCCATTTCTTAATATTACAAGACAAAGTGGACAGGTTTTTTAGCGTCTTAACGTTCTTTTTTTTTAACGATGTCATTCAATCCTGCATGGAAGAAGCCTATTTTTTGTAAATACTGATGGAAAAGCAAAATGTTTAATTTGTCACACGGTATTGACGCCAGCCCTTCTAAGTTCTGAAGAGGTAATTATTAATTTGGTCGTAGTTGATTATTATTAATGGTGTCGTAATGCAAGTTATATTGTTTCTTTGAAAATCGCAAAAAGTGGGAGACCGTTTACTGACGGTGCACTTGTCAAAGAACGCTTAGTGGAGTGTGCAGAAATATTGTGCCTCCTGTAAGCAACTTTGAGACAATTAGTATGTCCGAGCAAACAATTTCTCGTCGTATACTTGAACTTGGTGCAGATTTAAAAGAACAACTGCGGGAAAATGTGCCCATTTTGTGCAGTATTCTATAGCTCTCGCTAAAAGTAAAGACATTTCTGACACAGCATAAATAGCTGTTTTCGTTAGAGGTGTCGAAATAGCCTTTACTATCACCGACGAACTACTAGACGTTATCTCGCTCAAAGATACAATGGCCGGAGAAGATATTTTTGATGCTGTAGAATAAACAATGAATGACATGGGTATACTACTCAAAAGTTTGCGTAGTGTTGTTACTGATGGAGCGCCAGCAATGTTATCGGAAGCACCAGGTTTTACTGGGCGAATGAAAATAAAAGTAGGCGACGCTGGGCTACCTCCGATATCAACGGTACACTGCATATTACATCAGGAACAACTATGTGCAAAAACCTTCCATAATTTCAAATCTATTATGGATGTAGTAATAACGTGTGGCAATTTCTGCAGAAAGCAAGGTCTCAACCACGGCAGTTTGAAGTATTTTTAAAAGACCTGTAAGCAACTTACGGTGACATATCGGGTTTGTCCGAAAAGTAATAGGACTAAGTCGATTTAAAAAAAAATATTGAGCCACTGGTTACAATTCTTTAAAACTTTCACAATAGGCTCCTTCTGCGTCGATGCAACGCTGTCAGCGCGATTTCTAAGCATTGAAGGCGTCACGGAAGGCATTCTCCGGAATAGCCTTGAGAGCCTCGGTGCATGCTGCTTGGATCCCCTCTGTCGTCTCAAAATGTTTGCCTTTCATCGACCTTTTCAGGTGAGGAAACAAAAAAAAGTCCGAGGGGGGGGGGGGGGGGGCACATCTGGGCTGTAGAGCGGCTGCGGAAGCGTTGGGATGCCTTGGTCAGGTAGCTGTTCACAAGAAAGGCGGTGTGAGCCGGGGCGTTGAAGTGGTGCAACTACCAGTCGGCTGCGATGTCTTGTCGGACCCGACTGACCCTTGGTTCGAGTCTCCTGAGCACTTCCACGTAAAACTTGGCGTTGACGGTTTGTCCAGGAGGAACAAATTCATGGTGGACGATGCCTTTGATGTAAAAAAAGACAATGAGCATCGTTTTCACTTTGGATTTGCTCATTCTTCCCTTTTTTGGAGACGCCGACGTGTGCCACTCGGAAGATTGCCTCTTTGTCTCGGGATCATACTCAAAGATCCACGACTCGTCACCTGTGATTACGTTATTCAAAAATTGGGGGTCACTTTCACACATGTTCAAATTTTCTTGGCACACTTCCACTCGCCGCAATTTCTGGTCGTCAGTGAGCACTTTTGGGACCATCTTCGCGCACACCTTGCGCATGTTCACATGCTTTGTCACAATGTCATGAACCATAGATTTTGGTAAATTTAATATCTGGGCATCAGTTTGTCATACGATGTTTTTCCAAATGAGCCTAAAATGTCCATCAAACCTTGTAGGCTTCATTGGATTCGGCGAGGACGGTGAAATTCTCTTATGTCACGCTGTATCTTTAAGTGGGTATGACAGGTACTTCTGGTAGGATGCGCCCCGTCTCACTGAGCTCTTCTTGTTTATTTACTTAAAAACTACATATTATTACTAAATTTAGTTGAATCCGCGATGAGGGTATACTCAATGCCACCAGCTCCCGGGTCATTTCTATTCGCAGGGTGCTACGATTAGCACAACACCTTCCTCGCGATGCGTATGCCGCTGCCTAATCCCTCCCCCACATTCACAGAGTCACCCCGCAGCACTGTAATGCGAGCAGTGCTCGGCGCTGCACTGGTAGCACCTTTTTTTATTTTTTTTTTTTTTTTTGTGAGGGGGAATGCGTTTAGCACCATACCATAGCCCGAGCTACGGCGTGTGTGGGACTCCAGGTTGTCTTGAGGAGACCACCTAATACCCACTAAACCCTAACCTCCGCGTGGCCCGACTCATCAGCGTCTCGGTAGGCCATGTGTTGTGCGTGACCTGCGGTCTGCTACAACGTCTCCTCATGTGTTTCAGTCTCTGGGAACGCCGGATTGGTTCCTTTTACCTCGCACATTCTATCGATGTCGTTAAGCGATCATCGATAGAGGGTCTGCTAGGTTCTCTTGAAACTCTTGTTTTCGAAAAATCAAGAGTTTCAAGCCCTCTTACCAGTTGTTCCTGGTCCTGGTCATCTCTAGAGCAGCAAGTCGCTTGCGGTAGCTGGGGGCAGCGTACCCCCAGACCGCGGAGGCGTAAGCGAGCTGAGGTCTGGCGATGGCCCAGTAATGGGTAGAGTTGAGCCATGGCTGCTCTGGTCTTTGCGATGACAGCTTCTATGTGGGCTTTCCAGGTGAGGGACTTGTCAAATACGATCCCCAGATATTTGACTTTGTCGCTCCACTGGATATCTTCGTCGAAGATGGATGCTTCGAGAGGTCTTGCAATCCTTCTTCGTTGAGTGAAGATTGCCTGCGTCTTCTGGACGTTGATGCGGATTTTCCATTTCACGCACCAGTCTTGGATGTGGTCCAGTTCATCCTGTAGTCTCCTACAGATTATCTCGGGTCGTCGATGCTTGGCGGCTATAGCAGTGTAGTCTGCATATAGGGTCAGCATTGTGTCAGCTGTCTTCGGCACATCGTGAGTATAGATGTTGTAGAGCAGGGGGGCTAAGGCTGACCCCTGGGGCACGCCTGCTTCCAGCTGTCGTCTTGTTGAAGGTAGCACCTGAGTTGGAGAGGCCTGCTTTAAAGGAAAGTGATTACGTATTACGGAAATCTTGTGTTGCACGGATGTTGAAACTTTTTCCTACTCGAGAACGTTGTTTCCAGTGACGAGGCCCATTTTCACTTATGTGAACAAGCAAAATTGCAGATATTGGGCACCAACGAACCCAAAAGAGCAACGTCAACAACAATAGTCCAAAGGTGACTGTTTGGTGCGCCATATCCTCTAGCGGTATTATTGGGCCGTATTTCTTTGAAGATGAAAATGGTCATTCGTTGACAGTCAATTCCGAGCGATATAAGGAGATGATTGACAGTTTCTTTGCTCCTATTGTAAGAACAGGACGTCGATTTAACAGAAGCACATTGTTTCAACAGGATGGGGCCACTGCCCATACTTCCAGAGAATAGATGGATACGGTGAAAGCACTTTATCCTAAAAGAGTTATATTGAAGTTTGGAGACATTCACTGACCTCCTAGGTCACCGACCTCACGCCGTGAGATTATTTTTCGTGGGGTTGTCAAAAGTGTATTCCATTAATCCACGAACATTCGACAGTAAATAAACAACATTACTCCGGAAGAGAGTGCTTCTGAATTTGCGCACGCGATTAGAGGAGTGTGTCCGTAGGGATGTCAAAGATTTGGACGGAATTATATTTAAGAAATAAAACCCGCCGAATTTACTAATATGTTGATAGTGATAAATATTTACTTTTCATTAAGTTTGTATTTTTTTTCTTAAATCAAAAACTGGACATTTACAAAAAACGGCTTTCAGGATAATTACAAATTCCAGTTATGAATCTAATTGCAGAAATCACTTCAAAAGTTTACAAATATTACCACTTCCATCGATTTATACTTTTGAAGTCGTATGTTCAGAAATCTAAACAAATGTCAAACCTTTATAAATACACTTATGCTAATTACCTAAGGAATCTATTCTCGCGACTGAATATGACTAAAAATAATTGACCTAACGTTAAATTATATAATTTATACGTCAGTGCAAATATTTTTTTTAAATTCATTCGGATAGTTAATAAATTAGTTTGTAAGACCTCACTTGTACATTGTATATACATAATGTGGTCAATAAATGGTATGGTATGGTAAAAGTGAATCTCTTGACATTCATTGGTGTATAAAAGAGGGAAATTTTACATCCCAATGTGACCTTGGCCGCAGATACCATTTGAACTTAACACGACCTTGACTTCAAGGTCACATTCGAACGTAGAATTTGACCTTGGAATGAATTTAATGTCGTAGTCAAAGTCAAATCATATTGCTCCCTCGAAAACCCTACAATTTTTTTTTCAAAAAGTTTCCTAGGATGAGCAGTTTTCATAATATTTAGGGGGGGACACCATGTATAGAAAAGACTTCAGTTTATTCTCACAAGAATCAAACCTGTAGTTATCTATTGCGATACTGTTGTAGGACCAACCAACAAAAAGTATGTCTTCATAGATAGTGAAATTCAAAAAGTACATGATTTTATAGGTGGTTCAAATGATAGTATGAACGAGTCTCTGGGCATTGTCAACATAGAAAATTATGATTTTAACAGTGGCGACACGATGCATGAAAAGTATAAAAGCACCCCGAATTTAGCCGTTGAACAGAGTGCTGTCCTACATTCATTGAAGCCTAGTGTCACTGTTAAACCTGCAGATATTGTATCTAAAAATGAAGTAGTCAAAGGCGACTTGAAAAAACTGCTGCAGACCCATAACAGTGCGACTATTTGGAATGTTTTTCAGGTATGAATCACTACATTACTGCTTTGCCTCTGATCAATTTGTCACGTCGAGGATTCCTTGTGTTATTCATTGATAAGACATTATAAGTAATGTTAAGCGATAAACCGTGATGAACTGCGGTTATTCCTTGGATATATAATTGATTACTCAGTCATTTGCACTTCTTACACGGAACCGAGGACAGGGCTGCCTCACGCAACTGTTTTGTGGTCCTACGTCAACGATTATAAATATAATTCAAATATAAGTAAATACTATAATATTAACAATGTACCTTTAACTTTTTAAATTCTGCCCCAAAACAATGGATGACTTCCTAAAAACTCAGTGAGCCTTCTGATACATTTTTTTTTAATTGATAACATTTCATGGAGAATTATAAGTAGCATACGACACGATGGAGAATATATTATGCCAGGAGAAACTACTAAATACGACCCTGAAACTTGGAGATGCCTGGAGTACCAGCGGTATTTTGACAGGGTTGCTATGCTGGGAGATTTCCCCAAATTTGGGGGATTTTTTTTTGATGTAATGTTTGGCGAAAATCACACATTTGCATCTCCCTGCTCTGTGAACCAGACCTACCTACTCCTTTCCATTAATTAACTGTGATTTGGGGGAATTTTTTGAAAAAGCATTTCTGTGGTATTTTTGTGCTTGTTCTGGGGAAATTTGTCCGACCCATCTGGTAACGCTGTGCTTTGACATATATAGTCAACGCCAAACAAAGTGGCGTGCACGTCATCAAGGTGGGTGTGTTGAAAAATTTACATTGTTGCCAAACTTTTTGTAAAATAATAAAATTTATTATTTACATATCTAGGTTTATAAGCAATATTAACCTCAAATGAGAACAAAAATAATAGTATAATAAAATTATAGATCTGTACTTGCATAATCATTAAGTATGACAATTATTGATCAGATGACACTATGAAACTACCATATTTAATTGATAGCTTAAAGGTACTGAATAAAAATCCAAATGGGGTCCTCCAAATTTTATGCATGGTATTTATTTTACAGAATTCATACAGAAAAATGCATTCTAAAATTAGGTAAGCTACTGGTGTAAGCTTTTTCTGTACAATAAAGTTAGTCGGAGTTTCTTTCTTCAGCGCTGTCTGAATCTGAATCTTCATCACTCTCAAAGTTGATTATTAAAGGTTCGATGTCTGGTCGATCAAAAATTCGTTCTCTTTCATACCATTTAAAAATTTCTTGCTCAGTATGTCGAACACTATTTTTCCACATGTCTGGGGTAACCGTTTGTAGAGCCTCGTTCCACATATCCAAACAGTCTTTTTCACTGTTACCATCTCTACCAATATGTCTGTTATAGTAACCTTTTGCTATGCCCCAAATTAACTCAATAGGGTTAAATATACAATGGTAAGGAGGCAGACGAAGAACTTTGTGCCCATGTTGTTCCGCCAATTCATCAATCACGTATATTTTAGGTGGTTTGTTTCTAAAAAAGCAGTTATTTTAAGAATAGGAATAAACAAAAGAAATATAAACTGTCGACCAAAATATATATAATTCAGAAGCATTATGTACCGAGCAACAATACTCAATAGCTCTGTTTTAAACATTGTGTTTAAAAATGGTATGTTTTGATTTGTCAACCAGTCTTGGATATTTTTTTTTGTCCATGCATTGTTGGGCACTTTGTTCAATATCATGCTGTGATAAGGGGCGTTATCCAGTATAATCATAGATGGACTCTCCAATTTTTCTAATAACTGATGTTGAAACCATTTCAAAAAATTGTCCTGGTTCATCTCTCCATGGTAATCGCTCAATTTTGTTTTCGAAGAAAATATCGCTTCACTACCCTCAATAAACCCATTTTCATTTCCAGCATGTAATATAATGTATCTAAAATATATTAGTTTTAAATTTTATAGTGCAAATTGTGTAAAAGTACATACCTTTTACCATCTGTTTTAATAGCTTTCACGCTTTTTTGGTTTCCATTTTGCCAAGAGCGACCTATGGTCCCATTTTGAAATCTCCAAGTTTCATCGAGGAAGACAAACTGGTATAAGGCCTCAACCTTGGCTTGATTGTATTGCCTTAGAAATTCCACCCTTTTCAAAGCTATACTTGGTAGTTCCATGAGCCCTCGTCGCGGATTGTCCTTAAGCCACTTAAATCCAAGATCTCTAAGCAACCGCCTTAAAGACGTGGCACTACCATCAAATAATGCCCTATCTTTTAATCGAGACCATAAAGTTTGTATCGTAACTTGTTCTTCTGAAACCATGTGTAATATGACATTATAATTTAGTTAACAAATTAATGCAAATTTCTGATAAGTTATTATAATAAGATCTTACTTTTGTGATACATATTATAGATCACTTCTCGAATGGCACTTGGATCCAATGTCGCTGTGTTGGTTACACGTTTAATATAACTCCGCTTTTTCTTGGGCGATTCTAAATTTGCATCACTTTTCACACCCTCGGAAATACGACTAACTGTCCTTAAACTAATTTTTAAAGCAGCAGCAACACGCTACAAAAAATGAAATAAAATTTCACTATTATTAATATACATTACATATAATTATTAGTAACCTACCTCTTGAACAGCATTTAAAGGCAACAAAGGCCCGTTGTTGTCCCTTTCTTGCTCAAAGTAGTGCATTAACGAGGCCACGAGTTCCTTACACCGACTATTTAACTGTTTGGGCATCTTTATATACCAAAATTGCCTTTATCTACTCGTAAAATGAATAATTTTGTTTTGAAACAAACAGTTGTTGATTTACAGTATGCGGGGCCAAAGGATTTATAATGATTTGAAATGCCACAAATTGATTCAGTGTCAAAATTAATACAAATGTCAGTTCCCAGTTTAAATAAGTTTCAAGGTGACAATGTGTCAACGCTGCGAAATCGGTTTAGTGCGTTTACATGTCGATAAGTGATTGGAGCGTTTGCAAAACATTTTATTTCGCATAATGCGTCTAAATTTATCAGAAAGCAACTTATGTGATATTTTAATAACAATGTTTATATGACTATTAACCATAATAAGAGAGTAATGACCATTTTACAATTTATATATCACATTAATATGAAACTGCAATAGAGCAATTGTTTGTGATAGAAACCTAGGCATTAGGTCGGGGAATTTTTATCGTGATGACGTGCACGCCACTTTGTTTGGCGTTGACTATACGTGATATGAACACTTTCCTAAGTCTGATCCGGTTGCTTGAATTTTTTTTATACTCCAACTACCACGAAGGCCTAAGGCCTAAACACCCATTGGGTACCGGGGGGCTATAGGGGGATATAGGGGAAAGGGGGAACGCCACACGGACTCTGGCGAGGGAACACGTGTGCATGCAACATGCACACATTCTGGCTCCGCCTACGAGATCCGCCGGGTGGTACCTCCATGTTCGACAGTCAGAGACCGTCTACCACCTACGGACAATCACATCCATAGCCAAGAGAAAAGTTTCTCCTGGGACGGGAAAGTGACAATATAATAGCTTATTTATCAGATGATGAAATCAGCGAGGCAAATACATGATAAGTTTCAAATGTTACATTAATTCAATGCTGTTTCAGGGTATTGAAAACGACATACACAGTACTATTATGAGGAAACTTTCTGCAGGATTCACACTTGAATAGTAAGTAAGGCGGTAGGTAGGTCATTTAGTCCCGATTTTACTAAGTCGGGGCGTAAAAAAGCACGTGGGTAATTCCCATATTAAATCATAAATATCACTTGGTTTGGCTACAACTAATTTTTCCATTTCCGTCCGGACACTAAGTTAGCGGCCATACACCGATAAAAAAATAAGCATTTGCGCCATACTCGGGGTATGGACAAAAATCGGATACAGTATCTTATATGATAAATTTGCATTTTATTGAAAATATGTCTCTCACTGTTGCTGCACAAAATTATGCTTGGTAAAGTCTTTGAGGACATAAATAAAATTACAGACTGCTCATTATCTTCATCGAGTAAATATTCAGTTTACCTGGCTACCCTGTTTGTTTCTAATTAGCTTTATGGTCCACGTGTTTAGCGCATATTTTCCTAGCTATCACAGTACCGCTAGCGCGATCTAACAATGCGAATTGACAATAATAATTTTATTTATGTCTTCAAAGAATTTATTAAGCATAATTTTGTCTAAATAATGACAAAAATCAATGATCCAATTTGCCTGACCTATAAAGAGAGAAAATACGTTCTTGTCGCTAACCTCAATGTTAATAAATCAATCAATTGCTAAATATACACTACCGCTCAAAAGTTTTGGGACAGCAGATTTTTGTGATGGAAATTAAACCAAATCAAACAATACAGTGTGTTTAATCAAAAAACTAGGAAAGGAACTATTTTCCTCTGGAACTCAGTTAGTTGGTAACTTATTTCTATCAAAATTTATTTTAAATTCGTGATTCATCGAAATGTCCACCACGAGCGGGAATAACTGCATGACAGACCCGACTCATCCGACGTATCAAATTTTCAAGAATAGTTGGTTATAAGGATACCCACGCTTCCTGCACTAGTAGGCTCTTGTTGCTTCACCTGTCTGTCCGTCATCCCACTAATACTCAATAGGAGACAAATCTGGGGACTGGGTAGGTCATGTTGTGATTTTCATTGCACCAGGTTCTTGCTGCTGGTCCAAATAATTGCGGCATAGTCGAGATGAATGCTCAGGGTCGTTGTCTTGCTGAAATTCGAAATTGTTTCCAACAATCCTTTGTCCAGCGTGGTTTTCCAATATTTCCAAATTCTGCTCTTTTCGCATTATACCCTCAATACGAACCAAATCTCCTGTTCGATTTCCAGCAAAACAGCCCCAAACCATTACACTCCCTCCTCCATGTTTAACAGTGGGCTGCAAACATTGCGGAGCCATGCGTTTATGGGGTTGGCGGCGTACACACTTTCGTCGTCGAGATCCGAACATCTCGAATTTGGATTCATCAGACCAAAGGACTCGATTCCAATCGTCAGTGGTCCAATCTTTGTGTTTTCGACTCCATGCTAACCGGTTGAGTTTATGTATAGGTCGTAGGAGTAGTTTGCATGCTGCTACACATCCTCCAAGGTTAGCCCTTTGTAAGCGGCGTTTTACCGCAGACACGGACACAGGGCTTTCCCTCGTTCTGTTCAAGCTGTGTGTGAGTTCAGGCGAAGTTAAATATCTATTTCGCTTATTTGTTATTACTATAAACCTATCCTCAGGAACATTTGTAACTCTGCGTCTTCCAGAGCGTGGGCGATCTGCGACACTGCCTGTTTCCCTATTTTTCTTCAAAATTTGAGACACAGTGTTCCGTTTCAAATGCAGCTTTTCAGCAATCGCTCGAATTGGCAATCCCTCATCACGTAAGGTACATGCTGCAAGAGAAACGGTACCCGTCTTTACCATTTTCCATTATTTTGAAAAAATCTGACCCTAGCACATGGACTAGCAGTTTATAGTATTTTTTCTTTGTTTCATTAATACCCAGAATGTTTATGTATCACATTACGCCGAACATAATACATAGTACAAAAAAAAAGTAAGCAGCGGAAGGAAATCGGCCGATTTATGACTGCAATGAACTATACTAAGTGACATATAAATCCGAACACCCAGTTTAAATGGTTTTATTTTAATAAAATTTTGTATAAGTACTTAATGAAGCATAATAAGTAAATGATAAAAATTTCAGAATGATTGCACTGCTTTAAAGCACTTTGACCTTTAATAATGTGTGGATGCACCCTGATGTGCTACGCATTCTCCAACGCGCCTAGGCATGCTTCTGATCAGGTGGTCAATGTCCTCCTGTGGTATCTCATTCCAGGCAACCACCAACTCCTCTCGAAGTGCTTCTAGAGTCTGAGGAGGACGTTGCAAATTGAGCAATCTCCTACCCATCATATCCCACACGTGCTCAATTGGGGATAAGTCGGGAGATCTTGGTGGCCATGGTAACAATGTGACATCATTATGTTGAAAGAAGTCTATCGTGACTCTTGCAACATGTGGTCGGGCATTATCTTGTTGGAAAGTTGGATCTGCCAGGGTGTCAAGATAGGGTAAAAGATGGTGTACTAGAACTTCGTGGATATAACGCTGCGCGTTCATGTTACCTCTGATGAAGATTAAAGGTGACCTGGAACCATAAGCTATAGCACCTCAAACCATAACTCCAACAGTGTGATGAACATGTCTTTCAACAAAAAACTGTGGATTCCTTCTTTCACCACGTCGCCTTCTAACCCTGGCACGACCATCGTGCATGCCTAAACAAAATCGAGACTCGTCACGAAAGACAATACTGTTCCATTCCTGATCCCAGAGTGACCGTTGTCTGCACCACTCAAGGCGATTACGTCGGTGTTCTCGAGTTAAAGGGAGGACCCAGTGTGGCCGGTATGAAAACAAGCCAAAACTTCTCATTCGTCGGTAAACACGTCGCATGCCAATAGGTCTTCCGTGTTCTGCAAACCATTCATTTGCAATGGACCTGGTAGTGGAGAAACGGTCCCTTAAGGCCAATAATCTTAGGCGGCGATCTTCACGGTCTGTTGTTCTACGGCGGCGTCCAGTGCCCCTTGCTCTTTGCGTACGGCCTTCTCGAAGCCATGCCTGACAACACCTAATCACAGTGTCTACACTTCTTTGCACTCTAACTGCAATTGCCCGAAAAGAAAGTCCAGCTTCCCGAAGTCCCACTATACGGCCCCTATCAAACTCACTAAGTTGACGAAATCGTACAGGTCTCCGTACTCTAGGCATCGTAACCGATCGTAAAGGATGTCAAGAACCAAAATCCGCCAACGTTGATTCTTTACTGCGGCTGAAATATGCATTTTTAGAGCGTTAGTGAATTAAAAAAAAGAAGTATAAAAACCGGAATGTCCAACTGATAAGGCTGAAAATTTTTTCACTTGTTATTTACAGTAAGATAAATACATTCACCAACTTTTATTAAAATAAAACCATTTAAACTGGGTGTTCGGATTTATATGTCACTTAGTATAATAAAAATATTGGCGTCTCTAAAGATGTTTACATTTCTTCCCTTTAAAGTGGTGTTTCACTGATTCTTATACATCTTTAGCTTGAGTAGTCGTATTATAATGGTAATGATCAATCAATGTCATATAAGCCTTATTTATTTTAAGTTCTCTTAAAAAAGTTTCTGTCCCAAAATATTTGAGCGGTACTGTATATACCCTTTTTTCAGAATTATCTCTCAGGTAACAGAGGTAAATAATGTTTTAACAAAGAGGACTGCCGCTTTAGATAACTGTTCTATCGTACTTGGTTGGTTATCTAAGACACCCATATTAAGTAACTTGAAAAGTGACATTATATCGATTTTGAATGTTGCGTAGGTTTTTTTGATATTATATAGGTTTTTTCCGTAATAATAGCTCTATGACGGGCTATTACTGGGTGGTTTTTTGGTATTAAATATCTCATAGGGGCAAATCTTTATCAACTAAGCAGAAGGATGAATATGGTATTTAACTGCATAAATCTTTTCAGCTCACATGAGAAATATAGAGATGATTTGGCACAGTTGCACTTTATTCACATTCAAACTGAACTGCAACATTTGAATAACAAAATGGCGCTGAAAAAACTGGAGCATAGTGTTAAACAACGAAAAGAGGAACTTTGTGTAAGTAACTATACGATGCACAGTTATATAAGGTGGTCTAAACAATATGCAGAAAATGTATCGCCAGAACATCATCATAACGCGGAACTTGCAAGTTTTATTCTTGTATGTCACGAAATACCTTGCCCACTGAAATTTTAAGGAATCAGCGATATTAGCGTTGTCATTAGAGATTTTTTCAAAACGCCGAGTACCGGTGGGGTGATACACTTTAATTACCTCAGCGACTGTTAGTGATATTGAGATTATACAGGGTGGTCCATAAGTCCTTTGAAATTTCAAATTTGAATAAAATTTAACGGGTGAGCGTGAGCGGCGCGGGCGAGGTGGGGGCAGTATCTTCAGTGTCTGGGAATTCAGTCGCCATGGAGTGTTTCACTGGAGCGGATCGTGCTTTTTGTGTGCGCGCGTTTTATCAAAATAATGATTCGGCAACCATTGCGCGGCGTAAATATCGAGAATACCACAATTTACACAATTTTACAAAGTGTCCAACAGCTCAAACGATTAAGAACTGGGTTGCTAAGTTCGAAGAGACTGGTTCGACGTTAGATAAACAGCGGTGGGGTCGACCAAGGACAACTCGTATTGAAGAAAACATCAACATTGTGGCACAGTCTGTTCGTCAAAATCCTACCCAGTCTACTCGTAAGCGTTCCAGTGCACTAAACGTACCCAGAACATCTTTACAGCTGATTTTAAGGAAAGATTTACGTTTGCACGCTTACAAAATTCAGTCGGTGCAGGAATTAAAAGATAATGACGCTATTCAGAGACTAAACTTTGCGAATGAAATGTTGAATCGATTTTCTTCGCTCAATAATGTGTTGTTCTCGGACGAGGCTCACTTCCATTTAAACGGGCATGTAAATAAACAAAATTGCCGTTATTGGAGCCCCGAAAATCCAAGGCGTAAGCATCAGAAGCCCTTACACAGCCCTGAAGTTACAGTTTGGGATGCTATGTCAGCGCATGGCATCGTAGGCCCTCATTTTTTTGAGGACGACAGAGGTCGCGCATTAACTGTTACTTCGGAGCGGTATGTAGCAATGATAGAAGAGTTTTTGACACCAGCGTTGCAGAATTTTCCAGGCTATAATACGCAGACCTGGTTTCAACAGGACGGAGCAACTGCCCACACCTCCAAACTTCTATGCCCGTCGTCTGTCAACTTTTTCCCAGCAAAGTAATTTCTCGAAGAGGAGACATTTCCTGGCCACCACGTAGTCCAGATTTGACCCCAATGGACTTCTTTTTATGGGTCTACCTCAAGAGTAAAGTGTACGACACCACTCCGCGATCAGTTGATGTCCTGAAAGAAAATATCCGAAGAGAAATGGCAAGCATTACAGTGTTGACTTGCCGCGCAGTTATCGACAATTTTAGACGTCGTTTATATGAGTGCCGTGATCGTAATGGATTGCATTTAGACGATGTGATTTTTAAAGCATAATTCCCATTCAATAAAGATGATAACAAAATATAATAATTCTTCATAATGTAGCTAGTTTGGTTTTATATTTTTGAAATGTCCATTCCATATTGATGAATATGCGTGTTGCCAGGCCCAAATTTGCGTCAACATGTTTTTAAATACTAAATTGTTTTTTCGCTCCGGTCAAAATGTCTTTTTTTGACATTTTGAACAAAGAAAACCACTTTAAAACGTTTCTCTAAAATTTATAGTTTTGGAGATATAAGCGATACAATATGCCAAATATGCCATTTTCGACCCCGAAAAGCAATATGAAAAAACGAAAATTTTAATGTTTCCAATGCTCCTTAATATTATTCAAACATCCGCTGACAAAATCCTAAAGCATTTCAGGAGGTATTTTTATTGTAAACCTTTTGTTTTTTAATTGTTTTGGGTTGGGTTTTAAAATTAATTTCGATTATTTTCCCTCGCGAAATAACTATAATCATTGTACCAAGTCTCCTTTGACTACTTTAGAAAGGCAAAAGAAATATGTTCAAAAGAAAAGAAGTTACACATATTTCTAACTCACCCGCTAGATGAGATCTTCACACCGTCACATCTTTTTGCATTTAAGTTTGGATCGAAGTATTTTTTATACGACTGCACAAAAGCCTGATTAATTTATCAACTTATTTCAATCACGAATCAATGATATATTGGTTATATTATTTTGGTTATATTATATTTTGGTTTTATCAATAATCGTCGCTGACCGAGATGGTCCAACACCCTTGATCTTTATTTCATTACGTATAACATTTTATCATTTTAGACTATGTTATCCCAAACAGAATTATCCAACAGAAAATTCGAACAATTATTAGCCACATTTGATGCTCATGTTGAAAATATTGCTCTAGAGGCAAAACTTCAAGTTTTGAATAACGAAATTCATTCTGCAAAACAGCTTGAAGGGGATGATAAACAACTGCAGCTATTACCAGCTGAAGTTAAACAAGTTAAGAAGGATATAGTAAGTATTATTGATGTATATTCTTAATTCTTAGAGTGTCAAGATTATGGAATAATCTGCCCGAGAATGTTTCTCCTCAGCAGCTCAAACATCATCAATCATATCTCTCCCTTTTTACAGTAGTGGGACTTTGGTATCTAGTTTTTTGCCGTCAAAGCAAGTATAAAAAAAGTATAAACAAGATCACAATTTTTATTGTTGAAGAATAAATAAATGAAGTGAACTCGCACATGGTATACAGTTGTTTACAAATTAGGAAGTTTTTAGGTTCACGGCGAAATATCAAATTATTGATTCTTTTGATATCATTAGGGAGGCACATGTAAATTTTTAGACCTTCATAAATTATTTAGTCTTTCACAAACATTGATTTAGTTTTAGATACTACTAATTTAAGATCTTGTCTTCGTCTAATTTCTAAAATAAACAATGATACGTCATTATTATAAGATTTCAAAATAAAGGCCTGCATGTGGCTAATATTGCTTTTAGTTATATATCTAATA